TTTTCCTTTTCCTTTTCTTTCCTCCCCTCCCCTCCCTTTCCCTTTCCTCCCCTCCCCTCCCTTTCCCTTCCCTCTCCTCCCTTTCCCTCCCCTCTTTTCTCTTTTCTCTTTTCTTTTTTCTTGACGGGGTCTCCCTCTGTCAACCAAGCTAGAGTGCACTGGTATGATCACTGTTTACTGCAGCCTCGATTTCCTGGGCTCAATCGATTCTCTCACCTCAGCTTCCTGAGTAGCTGGGACTGTAGACACATGGTACCACACCTGGCTAATTTGTTTTAGTTTTAATAGATGAGATTTCACTGTGTTGCCCAGGTTGTTCTTAACCTCCTGGGCTCAAGAAATTTTCCCACCTCAGCCTCCGAAAATGCTGGGATTACAGGTATGAGCCACTCTGCCTGGCCTACTGTCTCTGTTTTAGCTACTTCCAGCCACTACTCTTTCATTCTCTGTGATTTGCCTATTCCGGATATTTCTATAAATGAACTCATACAGTCTATGGCCTTTTGTGTCGGGCTTCTTCCATTTAGCATGATGCTATCAGTACTTGAATCAGTCTTTTTTTATGACTGAATAAATAATATTCCATTTTATGGGCATACATATTTTAAAAAATCATTCATCGGTGATGGACATTTGGGTTGTTTCCTTTTTGGCTGTTTTGAATAATGGCGCTATGAACATCTGTATACCAATTTTTGTTGAGCATGTATTTTCAATGCTTTTGTGTATATGCCTAAGAGTAGAATTGCTGGGCTATATGCTGGTTCTTTGTTTAAAAAACTATCAAGCTACCTGGGAGGCAGAGGTTGCGTTGAGCTGAGATTGCACCATTGCACTACAGCCTGGGCAACAAGAGCGAAACTCCATCTCAAAAACAAAACAAAGCAAAACAAAACAAATCAAGCTTTTGAGAGTGATTATATCATGGTGTATTCCCACCAGCAGTGTATGAAAGGTCCATTTCTTCTCCATCTTTGCCATCACTTAGTCTGGCCGATCTTTAAGGCATTCCAATAGTATCTCATAATGTCATGCTTTTCCCTAATGACAAATTATATTGAGTAATTTTTCATACACTTAATGGCCATCTGTATATTTTCTTTGAGGCAGTGTCTGTTCAAATCTTTTCCCTATTCTTTTTTTCCTTACTGAGTTTTGATAGTCATTTCTATATTCTGAATATACATTATTTATTTGATGTATGCTTTGCAAACATTTTCTCCTAGTTTATGACTTTACATACTTTCCACAGTTCTTTTGAAGAGCAGCAGATTTTCATTTTGATAAAGTCCAGTTTGTCGATTTGTTTCTTAGGGATTTTGCTTTTAGTGTTTTGACCCAAGGTCACAAATATTTGCTTTTATGTTTTCTCCTAAAAGTTTTATAATTTTAAGTTTTACATTTAAATTTGTGATTCACTTTTAGTAAATGTTGTCTGTTGTATGAGGTATTGATAATAGTTTATGTATTTTTTACCTATTGTTCCAGCTCCATTTTTAAAAAAGACTATGCTTTTACACTGAATTGACTTTGTACCTTTGTCAAAAATAAATTGACTACATATATTTGGGTCTACTGCTGCACTCTCTATTCTGTGTTTTGTGGATCTATTTTTTCTGTCTTGATTACTGTAGCTTTATAAGAAACCTGGGAATCAGGTGGTGCGTGTCCTCTAGCGTTATTCTTTTCTTTCAACGTTGTTTTGGCTATTTTAGGTCCTTTGTATTTCTGTAGTATTTTAGCATCACCTTTTCAACCAAAATGCCTGCTGGGATTTTGATTGAGTTTACCTTGTATCTAGATAGCTAAACAATTAGCTGTCTTGTTTCTGATTGTCACTGTTTTATACCAAAGAAACTGGGTACGCTAAAGTAACTTGGCCAAGATCACTTACCTTGTAAGAAGTAGAACTGGACAGTTTGACATCAGAGCTTATTCTTTATACTCTTTCCTATGTTAATTAGAATACATTATTAATTGTATAAAGGTAAAGGCATATCTGTGTTGTTCCTAATTAATTCCTTGTGAAAGCACAATGCCTAGCATACAGTAGACACTTAAATATCTGTTGAATGGATAGGTGAATGATTTTAGAGTCTTTCCTTATAGAAAATTAAGTTTCATTACATTTGACTTGATCTAGGTCTTCATTTCATAGAATGGAGAACAGACTCGTAAATATTTTGCTCCAGACTTGAGGCTTATTACAAACATTGTCTTAATTAGGATTCTGTCTACCCAGAATAGAAATTAACTCAAGTTAGCATAAGTGTATGTTGAATTTTATATTAAGGATAAAGGAATGTCTCATAGATCCCACTTAAGAGAAATTAGCCAGCCCTTAGGAAGAGAGTAGAATTGGGTTTGCAAAATACAATAGGGCTTTCTTTTTACCTGTAGTCTTTAGTGAGTCTTCCTAAATTTTCTCTCTGAAGAGATAAGCATTCTCTGCTTTTCTAGTCACAAAATAGAAGATGGTTGCTTCGTAACTCTTCTTTTTAAAAAAACGTGTTGCAGGTCCTGCCACTTTCAGAAACTGGTTGTTTCATCAAACCTCCAGATTTCAGGACAGCGATTAATTGGCTTGACTTTAACACAGTGTTTGGCCCAATCTGTTTTAGTCAAGACAGCAGAATATGTAGAATAAACATGAATGTAGGAAAGCAGGGATAGTGGGTTGTAGTTCTCAAGAAGGAGGGTGGTGTGCAGGCAGACTGATAAATACCGTGAAAGGTTTATCATAGGTTTGACCACTGAACCCAATAACTTTAGTTTCCTAGCTAGACTGCTGGACATCAGAGCCTGGCTTCCAGTGTCACTTTAGTGCTAAATACTCCCTGATAGGCATTGCCACTTTCAATTTTGATGCATAGAAGAGAAATCAGAGAACAAATATATGTGAATATTGTCTATACACATGCATAGATGTAGCACTATTAGATTTTTGTGACATAAAATATTATTTCAAGAAAAAAAAATCCATCAGATATTTTGATTTTAAGTTGTAATTCCTTGAGATGATTATTTTCTTTATTGTTAATATGTTTCCTTTCCTGTTTTTTTTTTTTCTTTTGTTTGTTTTTACAGAGGCAAATATCGGATTGTATATATAACTCCAGAATACTGTTCAGGCAACTTGAGCCTACTCCAGCAACTTGAGGCTGATATTGGTAAGTGATTAAGAAGGAGCTCTGTAAATACTTGCTGAGTTAATCTTTAAGGTTAAATCTATGGATGAACACTGGATTACACTTCTGTTAAAGTTTATTTCAAACATTATTACCTCCAGGAAATCTCTTGACTGTCCAACTTGGTGTTTCACCTATCTTATCCCATGGTATTCTATAATTCCTTTTGCTATAGAAAATAGACTCTGTTATCATAACTACCTGTTTATATATCTGTTTTCTTCTGCTAGGCTATAAACTTTTCAAGGGAAAAATAACACTTTTTAAAATTTATATTTCCCCAGTGCAGTGCTTGGCACTTAAACATATTGTTGAATGAATGTTGAATCCTAGGTTCTATGAAATTTTAATTTATTTGTTTTTCATGTTCAGTAACTAAATTAAGTCAATGTAGTGATTTTCTATCTTCCTTGTTCATAAGAATCACTTTTCAAACTTAAAAAAAAAAGTAAGTAACTAACCCCCAACCTTGGAAATTCTGATTTAGCAGGCCTGGGGGCGGCACCTGGCATTGGTGGCTTTTCACAGGTGATTCTGATGTATAGCTAGGGTTGGAAACCACAGTACCTTTGATTGTTTGCCGATAGATAGTATAATTTATTACACAAAATAACAAACTTAGATAAGTCAGAGTTTATTTCCTAGAAAGTGTAAATGAAGAATTAGTCAAAAGTGATAGTGCTTTTTTTTTTTTTGTACTTAAAAATATTTTAAGCCTCAGTGTAATGAGACCTTGTCTCTACAAATAATTTTTTAAAAAAATTGGCCGAGCCTGGTGGTGCATGCCTGTAGTCCCAGCTACTTGGGAGGCTGAGGTAGGAAGATTGATTGGGCTTGGCAGATAGAGGCTGTGGTGAGCCGAGATCAGGCTGCTGCACTCCACCCTGGGCAACAGAGTGAGACCATGCCCCAAGAAAAAAATTTTTTTTTTCTTCTTGGTGGTTAAGCACAACTCTCCGAGAATTGCAGTCATGGCTTCTATTGCAAATGCCCCTATTTCACACCTTCAGTCAACCTAACCAAATTTGGTTTGTCAGTATCATATGATCTTTTTGTATAATTATATATTGAAATAATTCCAGATAGGTTAGGCTTTCAAATTGCAACATCCATTTAATGATTACTTTCATATAACTGTCAGAAAGCATTTGATAATTTTTCTAACAATAGAATGAAAACAAACTTACATCTTTTAGTATGTATTAAAAAAGAATGAGGGCAGCGCTGGGGTGATGGCTCATGCCTGTAATCCTAGCACTTTGGGAGGCTGAGGTGGGTGAATCATGAGGTCAGGAGATTGAGACCATCTTGGCTAGCATGGTGAAACCCTGTCTTTCCTAAAAAATACAAAAAATTAGCCAGGTGTGGTGGTGCGTGCTGGTAGTCCTAGCTACTTGGGAGGCTGTGAGGCAGGAGAATCACTTGAACCCAGGAGGCAGAGGTTGCAATGAACTGAGATCACGCCACTGCACTCCAGCCTGGGCAACAGAGCAAGACTTCACCTCAAAAAAAAAAAAAAAAAAAAAGAATGAGGGCAGCAATGAGCATTTCATTAAATATATTAGCAATGAGTACATTCATGAGCTCTTAAACTCCTTTATTGACATAGTGTATTTTTTACCTTTAATGAACAATGAATTTGATATATTTCCTATTAGATTATATGAAGTTCTTGTGAATATTTCACTTTGGATTAAGCATAACTACCCCATATGTAAGTTTCATGGGTTGTATTGCAAAAGCTAGGGTCTATGTCCATAGTGATTTGGGTACGTTTTTACTATTTGCTTTGTTTCTGCGATAGTGTTAAATGAATAATAAGCGGAAGTATTTAAGCAAATACTTAATACTTTTGACAAGTAGTTAAAACTCCCTATTTTTATTTTTTTGTAATGGATGAATTATGAACACTGCAATAATTAGAGCAGCATACTTTGCTTTTGATGGATGAAAATGTTCTCTGGTTGACTCAGTGTTGAATAAAAAGGGATAAATTAAGTAAAAATTATTTTTGAAATATTTTCCTTTGCCTTTTGTTGCAGGAAATTGTACAATGCTTGCAAAAATGAATATATGCAGGATGTTATTTGTACAGCAGTCTGACATTTAGCTAATCAGATTCCTCATTTTTAGGTAAATGTTAAATTACTTAAGTAGCCTGGATTTTTAACAGAAACAGCAAACATAATTTTATAGAGAGGCTCCTTACCAACCAAACTTTTAACTTAAGTGAATGTTGGCAACAGCTTTCTAAATTGATTTCGAGGGACAAGGTTTAGCTCCATTAAAAGCTAGTTTGTCAAACCTGTAACTAAAGCTTTTAAAACAAAGGAAAGTTTTAAAATAAAAGAGACCATCCTCTCTGTTTTTAACCTAATTTACTTTAAAATCTGGGCTGAAGTAGGAGTATTGTTTAAACTCAGGAGTTCGAGATCAGCTTGGGCAACACAGTGAGACCCTATCTCTTAAAAAAAAAAAAATTAAAAAATGAGCTGAGCGTGGTACCTGTTGTAGTCCCAGTTACAAAAGAAAGAGAGAAAAAAGGAAGGAAGGAATAAGAAAGAAGGAAAGAAAGAGAGAGAGAAAGAGAAAATCAGTCACTCAGATTTAGTTTCTAAAGCCCAAATAATTATAGTGATAATACTGAATTTTTTCCAGCCAGAGAATTCTGATACAAATAACTGACTTTGCGTCCATGCTTAGTAGGTTTTTTGTTTGTTTGTTTTTGACTTTCTTTCTCCTCCATACTCTCTTAGGACTGTTGTAGCTTGTAATCTCAATGAATTGTAATTGTTTATTTGCACATCTGTCTCCTCTTTTAGAATTGGGAACTCCTCAGGTCATGGATTGTATTTTATTAGTCTCTTTATTCCTAGAAAAGTATTTAGATAATAGCGAACATTTATTAACCATAGTAGTAGTATTAGTATTTTTAAAATTGACCCTGTTTTTGTGTGTGCCAGGCCCTATTTTAGCATTTTATGTGAGCCAGGCCCTATTTTAGCATTTTATGTGAATGGTTGAATATAACCTTTTGAGCGTCTAGAAAATGCTAGATACTACTATTATCCACATTTTACTTGTGAGAGGACTGAGACTTGGAAAGTAACTTGCTTAAGGTAATATACACGGCGGGTGGTGGAGCCAGGTGTTGCATCTGGGCAGTCTGACTTTAGAGCTTTTCAATCATCTTCCTCCTAGTGTCCAAACATTATTAATGCTCAGAGAAGTATCAAAGAATGATCATGCTCATTGAAGGAAAAAATTATTCTTATGTATCAATTTGTTAATTGAGGGCAAAAGCATGACTGTTACGACTGTTACTACTTTGAAAAATCTGAAGACATTTTAATGGATGATTTTACAATAAAATCCTTTTCTGACATGCATTATAACACACTATTGATTCCTTTTCAGTGTGTGTGTCTGGTGTGGGGGCAGGGGAGAGAAGCTACTAGAGGAAGAAAGAACAATTTACATTTCTTCTTACCTCCTTTGTACATCATGTGGTTTAGTTCTTCCCATATCATTTTACATGAGAAAATGTGGCTGTCCTCCTGTGCCCTAGCCTGGCATTTCGGAGGACTCTCTGCAATATGATATGTGATCAATCATAGATGGCGATGCAGTTAATTTCAGTAGAAATATGCTGACCCTTTTTATCTCTTTTAATAGCTAACACAGGAGATAAAATTTAAAGTATTACCAAAGAGAAATGCAGGTGGTTCATGAATGATAGTTTTGGGGACAAAGTCACAGTAAGCATCTCTCCAAGGAATAGTTATGAAAGCTGAGATCCAATAAATGTGTTATTTGGATTAATACATAAATATTTCCTTTTAAAATTCTTAAGGCTTTTATTCATATATCTCCCCTCTCCCTATTCCCAATAATGATTTTTGGTGTTAATATGATGGTATTTATGCTTATGTTTTTATAGGAACCAAATACTTTGATTTTGGTTATTACATCTCCTTTGGAGATGTAAATGAGTTTATGAGTTTATTTTTTCCTTTTGAACTTTATCTTTTCCATTATGTGTTTTTCTTTTCTTATAGGTATCACACTGATTGCTGTGGATGAGGCTCACTGTATTTCTGAGTGGGGGCATGATTTTAGAGATTCCTTTAGGAAGTTGGGCTCCCTAAAGACGGCACTCCCATTGGTAAGCTTTGCCAAGTCTAATGTCCCGAAAGGGAGTGGTCAAAAAGCTGAAGACTTCTCTATAAAAGAGGAAATGGATAATGTAAAAAGAGAATTGTTTTATTATTAAATTCTAAAGCTGGCATATAATCCATTGAGGAATATAGTAGAACAAGGCTTGACAAACCTTTTCTGAAAAGAGCAGATAATGAATATTTCCAGCTTTGTAGGCCACATGTAGTCTTTATCACATATTCCTTTCTGTGTTAGTAACCCTCTAAAAATGTAAAGGGTTACATTTTTCACTGGTGAGCCATAACAAAACAGGCTGTGAGCCATATTTATCCTAATGCCTTCTCAGTGATCTTTCATCCATATGTCCTTTTACTCTAGGATGCTGTGAAAGCCCAGTTACCCCTTCTTGTATCACATTGAAAACCTAAAATTTGAAGTATTCTACGGATATTTTTATTAAGGCTTTCAGTATTAGAATTTCTCTTTCTTCCCTAATTATAAAAAATAGCAAATTTTGGCTGGGCGTGCTGGCTCACGCCTGTAATCCCAACACTTTGGGAGGCTGAGGCAGGTGGATCACCTGAGGTCAGGAGTTCAAGACCAGCTGGTCAACATGGTGAAACCCCATCTCTGCTAAAAATACAAAAATTAACTGGGCATGGTCGCAGGTGCCTGCAATCGCAGCTACTCAGGAGGCTGAGGCAGGAGAATCGCTTGAACCCAGGAGGCGGAGGTTGCAGTGAGCTGAGATTGTGCCACTGCACTTCGGCCTGGGCGACAAAAGTGAAACTCCATCTGAAAAAAAAAAAAAAAAGCAAATTTTTACAGAATATTCTACATGAATGGCATATTTACATGAATGGTTTAAAAACCCACAATACTAGTGCTGTTTATTTTTTATTTTGAAAATTGTAGATTCACAAGAAGAGAGGTCCTATGTAAGTACTCTTTTGTATGTATATGTATTGTTCTGTACAGTTTAATCTCATGTACATTTGTGTAACTACCACTGCAAGTCAGAATACCAAATGTACCCTTACCGCAAAGCTCCCCGGAGCTGTTATTCCCACCCCTAGCCCTAGCTACTGGTAACCACAAATCTGGTCTCTATCTCTAAAGTTTTGTTTTAAGAATGTTATATTCATGGAGTCGTGCAATTTGTCAACTTTTGGAATTAGTTTTTTCCACTCAACATAATTACCTTGAGACCCATCCAAGTTGTATGTGATCATATGTTGCTTAACAACTGGGCTATGTTCTGAGAAATGTGTGTATAGGACATTTCATCTTTGTCTGAACATGTACTTAGACACACCTGGATGATAAAGCTTACTGCACACCTAGGCTATATGGTAGAGTCTATTGCTCCTAGGCTGTAAATCTGTATAGTATGTTACTGTAATAAATACTCCAAGAAATTGTAATACAGTGGTATTTGTGTATCTAAACATATCTAATGTAGAAAAAGGTACAGTAAAAATACAGTATAAAAGATAAAAGATGGTATATAGGGTGCTTCCTGCGAATGGAGCTTGTAGGCCGCGAAGTTGCTCCAGGTGACTGAGTGAGTGGTGAGTGAGTGTGAAGGCCTAGGACGTTGCTGTACACGTTGTAGACTTTATAAGTATAACTTAGGCTACGCTAAATTTATTTTAAATATTTCTTTAAAAATTTTCTTTCTTCAATAATAAATTAATCTTAGCTTACTGTAACTTTACTTCATAAACCCTAAAAAACTTTTGAGTTTGGACTCTTGTAATAACACTTAGCTTAAAGCATAAGCACATTGTACAGCTGTACAAACATTTTTTCTTCCTTGATTAATGTATTCCATAAGCCTTTATTTTAAATTGAAAAAAATTTTTTTAAACTTTTTTGTTAAAAATTGAAATACAAACACACACATCAGCCTAGACCTGCAGGGTCAGAATCATCAGTGTTGCTCCACATCTTGTCTCGCTGGAAGTGCATGGAGCTGTCATCTATGATAATGCCTTCTCCCAGATACCTCCTGAAGGACTGGCCTGAGGCTGTTTTACAGTTAACTTTAAAAAATAAATATGTAGAAGGAGTATACTCTAAAATAATGGAAAAGGGTATAGTAAATACGTAAACCAGGAACATACTTGTTTATCCTCATTCATCGAGTTGTATACTGTATATGATTGTATGTGCAATACTTTTTAATGACTAGCAGTGCAGTAGGTTTATTGACACTAGCATCACCACAAAGATGAGCAGTGCCTTGTGCTAGGACATGACGGCTATGACATCACTTGGTGATAGGAATTTTTCAGCTCCATTATAATCTTATGGGACCACTGTTCTATCCGTGGTCCATCATTAACTGAAGTGCCATTAAGTACTACATGACTGTATTTTGGAAGTCTGTTTTTTATTACAGAGTATTCCATGGTACAGCGGTACCACAGTTTAGCTATTCACCTGTTGAAGAACTTTTGGGTTGCTTTCCAGTTTTTGGTTATTATGAATAAAGGTGCTATGAACATTTGTGTATATCTCAGAGATTCTTCAATAGGTGAATGGTTAAACAACTTGAAAATATAAAAGTTTTCATTTCTCTGGGATAAATGTCCAGCAGTATATTTTTAGTTTTTAAGGAATTGCCAAGCTGCTTTTCCAAAGTGGCTGTTCCATTTTGCATCCTATCAGCAGTGTGTGAATGATTTGTCATCCTTGCCACTGTTTGTTGCTGCAACTGTGTTTTATTTTAGCCATTTTGATAGGTGTTGAGTGGTATCTCGCTTTTAATTTGCATTTCTCTCATGGCTGATGATGTTGAATGTCTTTTCATATGCTAATTTGCTTCTGGTGAAATTCCTCATATAATTGGAGTGCTTGGCTTTTTCTGTTGAGTTTTAAGAGTTTAAAAAATACATTGTAGATATGAGTCCTTGGTCAGATATGTGGTTTCAAATATTTTTTACTTTGTAGCTTGTCATTTCATTCTTTTTACCATGTCTTTCTTAGAGTAAATATTTTAAATTTTAGTGAAATCCAATTTTTTATTTCTTCTTTGATGGATTGTGTTCTTCATCTAGCCCTACCTGGATCCTGAAGATTTTCTCCTGTGGTTCTTTCCTAAAATTGTTACAGCTTTATGCTTTAGGTCTGTGATGCATTTTGAGTTAAATTTTGTATAAAGTGTGAGGTTTAGGTCAAGGTTCATTGTTTTCCCAATAGATGTTAAATTGCTGCAGACCCCTTATTGAATAGACTGTCCTTCCCCTATTGCATTGTTTGCCCCTTTGTTGAAAGTCGTTTGGTTGCATTTGTGTGGGTCTATTTCTGGGTTCCCTAGTCTGTTATTTTAATTTTGAATGAATAAATAAAGTCGGCTTATGTTTAAGTTTTCTTGGTAGAAGTGAGGCAGCGGTGGCCTCTGAGCCCAGGATTTCACAGTTGTGTGAGTAAACTGTATTAGAAATTGTTTGTTATTCTTTTGGTAGATTGTCTAGTTCAATTTCATTGCTCATTAATCTTGCTTATAGATAGCAAATTGAGAAGCATCTCAGAAATAGTTCCTTTTTTTAGCTTATCTCACAGAGATTTGGTTGGAGCAGATATTAGAATGAACAAACAAAAAAAGTTAGCAAGTTTATACTGAGGGAAAATCAAACTGTGTGAATTGAACTCCAATGATGTGGCTTGCCTTGGGTCAGATTTTTGTATCATGGTTCAACAAGGTAGCTATTAAAATCTTCATACTACTTGAAATATTTCTTCAGTAGTCACATAGGACAGCATACACTCCTGGATTTCTTGTTTCCTTACTGTCTCTTTATTCTCAGCCTCCTATTTGTTTCTTCTCATCTCTTTGCCCTTTTAATGTTGGCCTTCCAGGAACCTTATAGTCTTTGGACCTACCTTTGAACTCATTCCCTTGGTGATTTCACCCAACATACAGTTTTATTTTATTTTTTGAGACGGAGTTTCATTCTTGTTGTCCAGGCTGGAGTACAGTGGTGTGATCTCAGCTCACTGCAACCTCTACCTCCTGGGTTTAAGTGATTCTCCTGCCTCAGCCTCCTCAGTAACTGGGATTACAGGTGTGTACCACCATGCCTGGCTAATTTTTGTATTTTTAGTAGAAACAGGGTTTCACCATGTTGGCCAGGCTGGTCTCGAACTCCTGACCTCAGGTGATCCACCTTGCCTTGGCCTCCCAAAGTGCTGGGATTAAAGATGTGAGCCACCATGGCTGTCCTACAATTTTAAGTACCATTTCTATACTGAGAATTCCCAAATTTGTATCTCCATCATAGACTGACACCAGCAATATATGAGTGATCCAGTTTTTTGCCTCTTTGCCAGCATTTGGTGTTGTCACGATTTTTTCATTTTAGCCATTTAATAGAATATATGTACATATATTTGTGTACATACAGGCACACATTTATATAACCACTCAACATGCCTCTGCTGAGATGACCAATGGGCATCTCAAACTTAACCTCTTCCTAACTGACCTCTGCATAGCACTCCAGATCTGCTCTTTCGTCACTTTTCTCCATCTTGTTCGTAGCAACTTCATTGGCCAAAATTTTGGAATTTTCCTCAGTTTTCCTCTTTTTCTCACACCCCACTGTATATTTAAATAGTAAGGAAATCTCATGAGTTCTTCAGAATATATGCAGAATTAGATTACTTCTCTCTTGATCCCTGCCATTCCTCTGGTACAAGCCACCATATCCTTAGAGCCTCCTGCTTTCACTTTGCCCATCCTTCATTCTGTTTCAACATACATAGCATCCAGAGTGATACTTTAAAAATAGAAGTCAGATAGATCATGCCTTTTGCACAGAATCATCTAGCAGTATGCCATTTCACTCTAAATAAAGGCAAAAGTCCTTACTATGTATTACCAAGCCTTATGTGAACTGACCTTCCGTTTTCTCTGATGTCCTGCTCTACTCCCTGTCTCCTTGTTCACCGGATTCAGCCACACCACCCTCCTTGTTGTTCTTTGGACATCCAGGCATGCTCCAGCGTCTGGGCTTTGCTCCTGCTGCTTCCTCTCCCTGAATATGTTTCCCCCACATTATCGATAGGATGTTTTCCCCTAATTCCCTCAGTTGTTTTGCATTTAGGCTGTCTGAGCCGCGTTATTTAAAATATCAAATTAGTTCCCACTCCCCCATCATTCAACATTCCTCATAAACCTTTGCTGTTTTACAAATAGCGCTATCACTGTTTAACTTACTGTGTTATATTTTGTTAATTTTCTGAGTCCTTCCCTAGAGTATTCTTTGTAGGGAGGAGGTTTTGATGGTTTGGTTTATAAAATGTACAACAATACTTGGCTCATAGGAGGTGCTCAATATATAACGGGGTGAAAGAATGAATGAATGAATTCTGATGGGAAGACTGAGAATCAGTAAAGTGACTTTCCAGAACAGGCAGTGAGCACTATAGAGTTGGGCCATAAGTAGCTACACCATATGACATCATGCTAATTTCTAAAGCAAATGATTTGAAAGAGGCATAAAACATAGTTTCTGCCCTTAGCTCATAGTTCAGTAAAGGAGTTTAGATTCATACCTATAAAAGTAGGAGTAACAGTACCAAACAGAAAACGGTATTATGAATTGGTACAAATAATACAAAAAGATGAACAGTGTCAGTAGTACATGTAATAGGATAGAAGGGATTTCTATGGTGAAAGTCACTAGGCACAGTACACCTGGAGGACTGATTTCCATTAATTTAAAATGGTTTAAAGTAAGCTTTTGGAAACTAGGAAGATTACTTTCTGTAATCCTTTCCTAGGCCTTTGATTCTAGAATGATTGTGTTAAAGGGGTTTTAAATATTTTATACAGTTCTTAAATATTTTTTAGTTTGAATTAAATCTTTTATTATGTCTGGCCATGACGTCATTGGATCATTTTCATTTCTTGAGAGGATTAAAGCACATTCCTTCTGTTGAGCCTCCAGTGTAGGGAGGGTGTTAGCTGAGCAATGGCTGAGAAAACCTTTTTCCCTGGTGTTTTCAAGAACCCTCTTTATTAGCTAAGTGGTGTGACATGCCACCTGGTGGTTATAGTACTATCATTTTTTCTCACTGCTCTTGGTGCTTTTTTTCTCCTTCTGATTCCAGTTATACTAGGACAACAGCTATAAACCTAGAATGTTTCGTACTATATTATTTCAGTAAGTTCTAAAACAGCAGAGATCACTAAGCTGTTTGGCACAAAGACTCCTATTTGGAGGGAATCAGACAAAGTGAGTCTTAAGACAGAACAGCCAGGCAGAAAGCTTTGCATCAGTCTTAAAGTTCTTTACATTTCAAGTTAGAGGAACTGTGAAATCTATGAGGCATGTGGGGGTTTTCCACCACTTTCTCCCCAGTACCTATCACAAAGATTAACACATAGTAGGTACTCAATAACTATTTGGAATGAGTTAATGAATGAATGAAGTATGTGTGATGTTATGGAGTACAAAGTTAGAATTAGCCACATGACCTGTATTTAGAAGCAGGTGGAATACTTATAATTTTCTCAATCTGTGGGCACTATACCATTGAAGTATATGTTTAAGATCTTCCTAAATTTATAGTCATAAGATTAATTTATATTTGGTTGTTTGATTTAGCAAAACTTGATGCCTGTTAAAAAAGAAATTAAGACCTGCCAACTTAAAGAATACATTTGTGAGTTAAGAAGTAAGTGGCAGTATAATTTCTTACCCAAAGCAGTTTGCTTCTGAAAATTAAAGAGTTCAAGCTATTGATAATTATGCCGTGACTGCAGGCATGAACTGGGAATGTTCCAGCAAACGAGGATGTATTTTCACCCTTCTCATAGCCTGCCTGTGTGTTGTTTTTAAGCTTCACTCTAGTTTATATTAAATGTTATAAAAATACCACATATTTATAAGAGAAAAGGTTCGATTCATTGCTGTAGTGGAAATTTATCATTAATTTTTAGTATATTTTGTTACTTTATTTTCTAATTGCATAAGCAACATTCTTAGCTGTAACTTTCTAGGATGTTGAGGCAAAAGAGTAAATTTATAGTGATTTTCACTGTTACCAGATTGCTGGGATAGGGAATTTCTGGTAGCAAGATAGGAATTTTTAAGTTGGAAGGGTCTAACAGATCATATAGCCCTCTCCATCTCATTTTTTGGGCTGAAAAAACTGAGTCCTTGCAAATGTCAGTTGCAAATCTGGGAGTAGTACTCAGGTCTCTGGAGTTCTTATATAGAGTTCTTTTCAATTATTGCAATTACAATATTTGAAATAGTTGAAACTTTTTGAGTTCTTACTATATTTCATGCATTATGTTCAGCACTTTACATGTTTTATCTCATTTGATCTTCATAACTTTATGGAGATTGGCACTGTTATTGTAGCCATTTTATAGATGAGGAAACCAAAGCTTAAGAGCTTAAAATCTCACATCTAGTAAGTGGCAAAAACGAGATTTCGACTCAACCAATCCAATTCCAAGACAGATTTTTTTCCACTATAGTGCCATTCTTTTGCCTAGTTTTTCTGTTAACTTCTTAAAGATGTGTCATGTTTCACGCATACTTCCATATTTTCATAAATATATTACCTGTCCACTTAGACATCATATTGCTTAGAAACAAACCCAACCTTCTTTTCTTATGGACTGTATCCTGAAAAACACTGTTTGTAATATGCAGTTAAACAAGTATTTCATTAGGGCATTTAGATAAATTATTTGACTAAAACACTTAAACTGGTGAAAATGCTTTATTGTGAGTTTCAGAATGTGCATATTCTAAGAACTTCTGCTTTTTAAACTTCCCTTATTCTCAGCTTTATATTTGTTAGTACCTGTGTATTAACAGAGGTACACCCATGTTAGGGCTTGATTAGAGAAACCAGTCTCTTTATAGATTAGGTTGTTCATCTCTTAAGTTTCTAGGCAGGCACTATAAATTCAGAGAACAATCTGATTGTAAGCCAAAAATCAATGAAATTAATTTTGGGGTTGTCTTTTAACATAGTTTCACAAAATGCAAAAATGATGTGCATCACCTAGTCACATTAGTTTTGATTTAATTTTTTTGATTTGAAAAAAATTTGATTTTTTAAAAAAAACTTCAGTTTGGAGATAATTTGTAATTCAGTAAAGTTACAATGATTGTAAAAGTAGTTTATAATTTTTAATAAATTGATTTTGTTTTAATTTTGAGTCATGCTCTATGATTTCTTCTTTGCAAATTGGTAAATTGCACATAAATTTCCACTTATATACAAGATAATTGCTATAGTTTGTTTGTAAAATAGATACAGATCATCTGAAGAGCTATTTTATGAGAATATTGTTTCTTGTATTTGTCATGAGCCAAAAAGAATATTTTTAAGAAAGTTATATTATTGATGATGGAACAGCTGACAATTCAGAAACAACTTTAAGACAGTCCATTTTTTGTGATTATAAATTAATACTATAGTTAAGTGTAACTTTCTATAATAATCAGGACAAAAATATGAAATCTAGATTTTGGAGAGGCATATTGTTACCATACCTTAGAATTTCTGGAAGATGACATACTCATGTGTATCCTGGTAACTGCTGAGTCTCCTGCTCTGTCTGCCAATTCAGTCAAGAAGTCCTTGCTAACAGTCAATTAATAATACATGTTTTATTTATACATGTTTTCTATATATAGTATGTTATTGATTATCTCAGTACAACTGAAGAGAGGTTATCTGGGTCATTCTAGCTTTGCTTCTAGATTTGTGAAACCTGTAAACCTATATATTTAACAGGAGGCCAAAAAAAAAAAAAAAAGACTTAATTGTTTTACATAGTTAGATTTTCTGTGAATTGAAGTGTTTATCATTTGTGAATCATATATGAATCAAATATAAGGCATAATATACCCCCTGCTTATATCAGCACTATTTCAAATGTAATAAATGTTGAAAAATAATAAATGGAGAAGTAGATAGCTAACATGTAGGCTTAATTTAATAATACAAGGTAAATTGCATTTGGAAACCTTGTGGATTTAGTGTTTTATTTAAATGATTCCTGATTTTTAAAAAATAAATATTGTATCCAGAAGGATGAAAAACAAGTTTGTACCGAGATTTTTTCTTTACAAAAAAACTTTACATTTGCGTCTTTGACATTGTACCTCTGACCGATGTCTTACCAGTCTTTTTGTAAGAAAGCAGTAGACATAATCGGGAATGAATGAGCTCTCTCCTTTTTTAAATATCAGTTTTACTTCATTCAGGTTCCAATTGTTGCCGTTACTGCTACTGCAAGTTCTTCAATCCGGCAAGACATTGTATCTTGCTTAAATCTGAAAAATCCTCAGATCACCTGTACTGGTTTTGATCGACCAAACCTGTATTTAGAAGTTGGACGAAAAACAGGGAATATCCTTCAGGATCTGAAGCCATTTCTTGTCAGAAAAACAAAGTAAGGATTTGATGGTTGATGAATTTTGGTAATGATTTCCTTTTTCTTTTTTTAACAACTTAGGTATTTTATGTTACTTATGATTTCCTTCTAATGCATATTTAACATTTCAAATTCCACCTAGTTTTGGTTCAAGTCAAGCATGATGTTATATAATCAATTCAGTGATTGAGAATAGTCTATTTTTAAAAGCAGAAACTAATTCTTCTGATAGTTTAATACCCCATTCTGTTGCTTAAACAGAGCATATATTATGTATTTTTATTTTTTTAAATTTTATTAATTTATTTATAGAGACAAGGTCTCGCTGTTGTCAGGCTGGAGTGCAGTGATGTAATTACAACCTACAGCAGCCTCAAACTCCTGGGCTCAAGCAGTCCTCTTTTCAGCCTCCCAACTAGCTGGAACTACAGGCTCACACCACCATGCCTGGCTAGGACATATACTCTTAATGATTGACAAGTAAACAAGCAAACATAAAATGACTCTTTCATCTGAATTATGTCTGGTTTACTAATTACTTAACTTCAGTCTTAAGAAGCTTAGGAAAGTTATCCTACAAACACATTGGAGCCTGTATTGTGTTTCAGAGACTGTCATAGGCACTTTATATAAGTGATCTAATTTAATCCTTATAACTGCTCAGTAAGTTACATATTATTTTCATTTTACTGATGAGGAAACTGTCATTAGTACTTTTTTTCTGTTTATTTTGTTTAAAGGCATAATATATATAATATATATATATATATATATAATATATGTTAAGAAGTTTTGTTGAGCTTTACTTTCTGATATCTGCATAGTGAAAAGTTTATAATTTTTATTTCATTTTATTTTTTGAGAGGGTGTGTCACTTTGTCACCCAGGCTGGAGTGCAGTAGCGCGATCCTGGCTCACTGCAACCTCTGCCCCCTGGGTTCAAGCTATTCTGCCTCAGCCTCCATAGCTGAAATTACAGGCGTGTGCCACCACGCCCGGCTAATTTTGTATTTCTTAGTAGAGATGAGGTTTCACCATGGTGGCCAGTCTGGTCTCAAACTCCTGACCTCATGATCCACCTGCGTCAGCCTCTCAAAGCACTGGGATTACAGGCATGAGCCACTGCGTCCAGCAGCACTTTCCGTTTTAAAGCAGTTTGCCTTTTTTGTGTATAATATTGTCCTTCTGTTTTTCTGACATTGTGGTCGTCTTAAAATATCCTATGCAAATGTTTCTTTCTCACTGTTTTTCATGTTGACTCTGCTAATTGAGGTACTTGTTGCTTTTTAGTCCTGGCTATTATAATTTCCCCAACAGATATCCTCCCTCCCCAGTGCTCCTTGTTACTTTCTGTGCACAGTTTAAAAATTATCGTCTGAAAACACATACTTAATTCTGGAATCCTTTTCTGGAACTCTTTACTAGGGAATAAAGACCAGACTCAGTGTAACATTCAGCATTATCAAAGATCTTGATATTTAATATGATTTTTTTTTTAAAGCAGATCAGGAAAGATTTTTGTACCCATTTTTAATCCTCTAAGAAGACTTAACAATAGCAGGAAACCGTTGAGAGTCAGAATGCTTTCTGCAGATCTTAGGTGAACAAAAATTTTCCTCTTAATGAGCAGTGAGGTGGAGGCTAATTAAGGCTTTAGAGCATCATTGCCCTTTAGTTCCATCTTCTTCCCTTTAATTCTGCCGAATTCCTTTGTTTATCAGTATTAAATTTTATTTTATTTTATTTTATTATTATTTTTTTTTTGACAGAGTCAGTCTCACTCTCTTACCAGGCTGGAGTGCAGTGGCATGATCTTGGCTCACTGCAACCCCCAACTCCCGGGTTCAAACGATTCTCCTGACTCAGCTTACTGAGTGGCTGGAACTACAGGCACACACCACCATGCCTAGCTAATTTTTGTACTTTTAGGAGAGACAGGGTTTTACCATGCTGGCCAGGGTGGTCTTGATCTCTTAACCTCATGATCTGCCCGCCTTGACCACCCAAAGTGCTGGGATTACAGGTGTGAGCCACTGCACCTGGCCTCAGTATTCACATTTTTTTTAAATCCTTTGAGCTAAGGTGTTTCTTAAACTAACCTTATTTTGTTAAAGTCTTAATTATAATATATTCATATACATTTAAATGAGATAGACAAACCTCTCTTATGTAATCTAGTGGTTAATTAGATTAGATTAGAATTTCCCCCCCTCTGAAAATTAAGAAGAAAGAACAGTCTTTAGCAAATCACTTGGCATAGTAATGACTCCTCTTGTAATAGGAATTTTTACTCTTTTGATTTATCTGTTACATAAGTTCAAATTTTTATATATTTCCACCTTTTTTAAAAAAGGGTGATACATGGTCAATATCAATTTGAACAGCACTGATGCTTATAGATTGAAAAGGGCTCTAATTTTTCAATTCCATTCCTCAGTTGTGGTCAGTGTTGGTATTTTGGCATTTAGTTATATAGACTTCTTTTCTCTGACTCTACAACTCTGCAGATGTACACTTGTGGTTTTTTGTTGTTGTTAAGTTGGTACAGAAATAGTTGCATACTATATCCATTATTTCTGCAAATTTTTTTCATTTAAACTATCTTTACTATCTTTCCATATATTGTGTTTTCTTAAATTAAAGCCTTAATATATAGGATATTACAATATCCAGGTTTTGATGAGTAGTTTTTTCTTCTTTGAAAACGTGTTTTTAAAATAAGATTTTTTTTTTCTGGACGGAGTCTTGCTGTATGCCCAGGCTTGAGTGCTGTGGTGTGATCTCAGTTCACTGCAGCCTCTGCCTCCTGGGTTGCAGTGATTCTCCTGCCTCAGCCTCCTTGCTAACTGGGATTACAGGTGCACACCACTATGCTCTGCTAATTTTTATATTTTTAGTGGAGGTGTGGTTTCACCATCTTGGCCAGGCTGGTCTCAAACTCCTGACCTCAGGTGATCGGCCTGACTTGGCTTCCCAAAGTGCTGGGAATACAGGCATAAGCCACCATACCCTGCCTTAAAATAAGATTTTTATACACTAAAAAAAACCTTGTATGTTTTTTCACTCCATTAAGTAGTTTACTGTGAATTTTTGATATTGAAGCCCATTTGGTTGCTGTCAAAAATAGCTTTGACCAGATTATTCAGTATGACTCTTACAGTGAAATTACTGCCTTTTTTCCTCTGCTTAAGTTTTAGGTGGCTTTTGCCATAGTCTTTAAAGGTTTTATAATTTTTTTAATGTCTAATTTTTAAGCATTTGCTTAATATCTCATAGTATCAATGTATGTAATGAACATTTAGATGACTTTTTACTGTTATAGTTTTGCTGTGAATATTTGTTTACATTTCTCTTTTGGCTGATAAGCAAATATTTTTGTAATTAGAATCCTAAACTTGAAATTGATCAAAGGTTATATGCATTTAAAATTAAATAACTTTTCCTAAATCTAAAATAGTATATATATTTTTATATTGCAGCATAAATGAATGTATTTATGTAAATGAATATTTTTAGACATTAAGTAAAATGTTCTGTGGAAATAGTACATGGAAATTGTTTATACTTCTACGGAAATTGTTTACACTTTTAATAAAGAAGCACAAGTTTTTGCAACAGACATTCTAATAGATGTTTTCTAAAACATTCAGTCTCAAGATTACTAGTAAATACTTCTTGGAACTGTAAAAGCAATCTTTCAATATTATAAGAAAGCTCTTGCTTTAGTAAACATTTAGAAACTCTTCTTTATTATCGTAAAAGAGAATAAGAATAAGTGTAACAAATTTTATACATAATCCCATGTAAACCCTCACCAGACTAATTGTTAATCTGGCTCCTTGCATTCCCCAAAGTATTTTTATCTTTTGTTTATAAGTTTTTATCAAGGTTTTGGTTAAAACAAATAAATATGTTTCTAGCTTTAGCTTTAATTTGAACCAAAACAGTCAAAACTGAGTTTTGGGGATTTCACACAATTTATTTGCACATTTGATTCTCCATAATGTTTTAAATTTTCATGCACTTAAATATATCATTATTTTTGATAGGCTTTCTTCCTTTAGTCTTTTGTTTAGAAAATAGAAAGGAAAGGCCGGGCGCGGTGGCTCAAGCCTGTAATCCCAGCACTGTGGGAGGCCGAGGCGGGTGGATCACGAGGTCAAGAGATCAAGACCATCCTGGTCAACATGGTGAAACCCCGTCTCTACTAAAAATACAAAAAATTAGCTGGGCATGGTGGCGTGTGCCTGTAATCCCAGCTACTCAGGAGGCTGGGGCAGGAGAATTGCCTGAACCCGGGAGGCGGAGGTTGCGGTGAGCCGAGATCGCGCCATTGCACTCCAGCCTGGGTAACAAGAGCGAAACTCCGTCTCAAAAAAAAAACAAAAAAAAGAAAAGAAAATAGAAAGGAAAAATGAAATAAGATAAAACCAAAACTGATCTGAAGCATATATACAGTATATACATTTGTTCTTTTATTCTTCTTTTTCTTTAGTACCCGCTGGGAATTTGAAGGTCCAACAATCATCTATTGCCCTTCCAGAAAAATGACAGAACAAGTTACAGCTGAACTTAGGAAACTGAAACTATCCTGTGAAACATACCACGCGGGCATGAGTTATATTAAAAGGACAAACACTCATCATAGGTTTTTGAGAGATGAAATTCAGGTATGAGGATCAGTCATCATTGCTCTCTGTTGCTTATAGTGGAAATAGGTATATCTCAAATGTTTATTTTCCAGATCTTTATTGAATACTTTCTTTGTGTTGAACAAAAAGCAGTCCCTCTGATAAATGTGGGAGAACAAACTTGCAGATTAGTATAAACAGCAGCCTGTCCCTAGTGCTTAGGTGCACAAAGGAGGGAGCACTAGTTCTGTCGAGGTAATTGTGCAATGGGGATGGTCCATCCGGGAAAATGCAATTGGAGTCCGAATATGTAAAGAAAAGTTGTTCAAGTATGCCAGGCCAGTAGGTGATGAGGGAAAAAAATTGGTTTAGAATTACAGGAAGGACTAGCAGGTACAGAGATACTTTATGAGAGTGTATACTGGGTTCAGGAAATTGTGACTGGTTTGGAATGGTTGGAGGGAACGAGAATGTGGGGTAGGAATGGCACAAAGTATGGACAAAGAGGCAGGGTGGAACTGTAAGAGACTTGGGAGGACAGTTGAATGGGTTGGTTGGCCAGGTTATAGATGGCTTTAAAACTTGCAAAGAAGCAGTCTGGGCTTGGTGTCATACACCTGTAGTTTTCCCTGTATACTTTAGCCTTAGAATTTTTAGTTTAAATAAAATTTTATGTAATAGGTAAAATAGATTAAAGTAGAATAACTCTGGCTGAAGTTGATGTGAGGGAAAAGGAGGTCCAAGAGCCTCCAGACCTTGAGGACAGTCCCTGTTGGGGTCTTACAATCCTTGGAGTGCGGCAGGATCATTTGAAAACCATCATGATATATTACTCTGTGTTTTTGAACAAGATAATAGGATTATAGAAACAGTAGACTGGTGGCAATAAGTTGGATTGATTTGAAGAAGAGAAACTGAAGAAGGGAAGGGGTATCGATGGGAGTTATTGTGAAATTCTACAGTTGACATTCCTGTTCTGATTGGACTGGCTCAGTGGCTATCATAGAGAATATTTGGAAGGATTTAAGTTCAAGGCACATAAGTAGATTTAGGTCAACAACTTGACACTGTCAGCATGAAATCCACACTCTGTCACTATAAGCCCAGGGAACAGCCCTCCTCTGAAGTTAGGAATTTAACTTCAGCTGTGACATTTTCTGTCCCACTGGTCATCCATTTCCTCTCTATCCATCTCTCCTTCTGATACCAAGTTGTTACCCAACCTCAGCTAATGTTGTTCAAAAGCTTATCTTAAGTATATTCATATTCACTCTCTAGAAAGTTCACTACACATAGTCATGCTGTAATGCATACCTGCCTGAAAGCATCTGGTTTCTCTTTTCCTTCTTTCCAAAGATAGGAATACTATTCACAGCTGTTTAGAATAGAAATTTTGTCCAAATTCTTCAGTGTTTATATTTTTGTTCTGTTGTTCCAGTCTCTTCAATATTGTCAAATAAAATTCATTAGCTGCTACTGCCCTTAATAATCAATCTTCAATTTCTTCTGTCTTAATGTATTAGTGATTATTCATTTAAAGTAAAACATCTCCCAAAACATGAAAGAATACAAACTTGATTTGAATTACATTGTGACAAGAGACTTTATTGGATGCACCTGATTTTCCTGCCAATACACAGCTTCATGACACCATTAATGCTTTGAAATATGGCTTAGGAAACGTCACAATGATCATTAATTACACCTAATTTCTGGAAGAGTATACACATGTATGTGTTACTCTATTCTCCCTTTCTATGGCAAGATGTCACAAATTCTTATCCACATTACAAAAATTAAAAAGTTGATATTGTTTTTTTCTCCCTAGGTTGATATCATATATTCTGTTTGATCTGACAGCTGGCCCGATGTACTCCTTCTTTGAAATTATAAAGAATTCACAAGCTTCATATTTGCATTGAAAGTTCTCAGACACTTTCTGAAGATGATGAAAATATGTTTCATCATCTACATAGAATAGCCAGGTGCCCTTGCAGTTGATTATTTGCTACTGAGAATTGAATATCTACTGAGTGCATAATATATAGAATTCTAGATATTCCCTTTGCTGTGTTTTTACAGTTGATACGTACCTTAGTGTGGGTCTAAAAATGGAGGTGAAATCTGTAGCTCTTAATGTCTTAGACTGAGTGATGCTTAGAATCTTAGATTTTCTTTTATAATTTTAGAAAAAGTATACTTTTATTTCTTATTTTTATAACCAGATCCAACCACATTTGCATGTAGATAGGCATTTTTACTTTTAATTCTCACTTTTAGTTTTGTATCTTTTTGTATTTCATTTCCTATTTCACGATGCCTGAATCCTTTCCTTTTAGGAATGATGTTGTGAATGAATTATTTGATAAAATATCTTTACACCTGAGAGTTTATAAGGATAGTTTGAATATCATGTCTGTAAAATAGGTTGATCTCACCTAAAAATAATATCATATAATGAAAATTAGAATTATTATTGTATTGCTTATTCACTCTTAAATATAGCAAAATTGCTGAGTCTTACTCAGCCAAAGCTTTTACTTAGTATGATACTCATTTCTAAATTTACTTTTTCTCACCTTTCTCAGACTTTCTTTTACTTACTCAGCATTTTCCTCCTTTCCTCCCTCCTTTCTTTTCTTTCCTTTTTTCTTTCATTCATATTCCTGGCCCATCTTAGCATGTAATCTTTCTTTATTAAATGGCATGCAAATAGGTCTACTGTGCTTACAGTGAAAAGCTTCAAGGCCTCATGTCTTCCTCACTTCTGTCTTCCACTCCCAACCTTTTTAGCTGATTCTTTTGATGCTTACCACTATATCTTGCTATAATTTACTTAAATGGCTCCTACTTAATTTTTTGTTTGTGTGTCAGATGTAGGCATTATCTATCCAAAAGATGAAAGTTTAGCTCTCTTTCACATTCTTTACTGTCCTTTTTTCTTACCTATCCATGTATTTCTAACACAGTTAGAATTTTAAATATGTTGCATATTTAAAATTATATGCAACATATTTAACATTTTCTCCTATTATGTTTATATCATACTTTTGACTAGATCAGTGTGTAAGATTTACATAATTATTACTCTATAAGTGCCTTTTATAGTCTCTGAGCCATGTAGTATATTATGGCTATTTTTCTTATCTGTTGGTATTTTTTTTGTTAATACTTTAAAAAAATCTTTTCTATGTCTTATCACCAATTCTTCCCCAAAATTTCCCACAATTGTGTAAACTTATCTTAGTATATTCATACGTTTGAGACATTCTATCAATTTTATCCTCTTAAAGATGCAGAGATAATGCATCATATTTCATCCCACTATCTTTAATGAGAAGCTTCCATCTTAGATTGGTATTAAGAAAATGTTAAGATACTCTTCAATCAGGTAAGAACACTTAAACTTCATTGTAATATGAAAGTTTTCTTTAATACAGTAAATATTTTGAGTCTCTTTTGTGTCTCGTATTCATAGGAGTTCAGATAAACCACTTTATTTATAATTTTTTATAGAGAGTGAACAGAAATCCCATTTCTAGTCACCAGTCCTTAACTTGTAAATTGGGCAGATAATCTATAAATGATTGGTTTAAATCACATTAAATTCCATTTTATGCCAGGGACTTAAGTTAATGAACAAATTTTTCTTACAAAAAGGTATAGATGTAAGGCTTTAGTTCTGCTAAATATGTTTGTCAAACTGTGTTGTGATTTATTCTCAGTGTGTTGTAGCTACCATAGCTTTTGGAATGGGCATTAATAAAGCTGACATTCGCCAAGTCATTCATTATGGTGCGCCTAAGGAAATGGAATCATATTATCAGGAGATTGGTAGAGCTGGTCGTGATGGACTTCAAAGTTCTTGTCATATCCTCTGGGCTCCAGCAGACATTAACTTAAATAGGTAAAAAACATTTATTGTTTTTACCCTTGCAGATTTCTTTCTTTCTTTCCATATAAACCTCAAAAGCATTTGAGGCTATTTCCAGTATTCTAAGTAATTAGTGAGTGCGTTTAAAGTCAAAAAACCTCCCTGAATCCAGAGGACATGTAAGAAGAACATTTGTGGTAATAGTTGCCACTTGGAGGAGATGAGCTAATTTCAGCATGCCTTAGTGTGAGAAATTAACTAAATCACAACAATACTTGGAGCTGTAACAGAGATCTTATGAAATACTTTCCACCATTGTGCACTAATGAACAGGTTCTTTTCCTCTCCTCAGATCCTCTCAGGTTGCGATGTCTTCAGCCATAGTTACTTCAGCTACCACTGATTTTGTTACTGATTCTTTCTTCCCATGCTACAGTGGTGATTATTCCAGAGGAATTCTCCAAATCCCTGTTTGGCTCTTGTTACCGTTTGTTTCCTTGGGTAGTTCCATCAGACCATACCAGTTCTCCTTGACTGTGTGTAAATCATTGTGTTGCACTACACTGATAGACTGCCATAAATAAATATTAAGTATTCAGTATTTAAGTACAGGTGAACCATTCCACTTAAGTAGTCAACAAGTAGTTTGTTGGCACTTAAGTTCTGTGAGATTTTTTATTGTAAAGGAAAACTTCATCTTGCAAAGATTTTCAGATACACCTTTGTGTAGCTGAATGAATTGAGATCTTGAATGGACATATTAGGTCATTTTGGTAAAACGATAAGAGAGTGCCTCCCACTACAGTTTTTGTTTTTATGCATCATTAAACAATGTGTTTTGAGTGCCCACTGTGTTCCACGAACTATACTATGTGTTGGAAATAGAATAGTAAAGAAAAGCAAAGTACCTGCTTCCACAGAACTCAGTATAGTAGGAATGGTAGTTCTTTAGAGAATCATATAACTATGGATCCCTAGGCTTCATTTTACTATTCTCCTTTTGTGTTTGAAAATGTCGACAATCAAAAGTTTTTAAAAAGGAATCATGCAACATATTAAAATTATAACTGTGTTAAGTGTTATGAAGGGAAATTGCATTGAGTAGTGAGAATATATAATGGTGTGTGGTATTTACCAAGTTAAATGGTCAGTTAAGGCTTCCTTGTGGAAGTGATAGTTCAAATCTGAAAGAATACTGATTAATTAGATAAAAATGTTTGATGCAAACTTTAAGGTTTTCCTTCTGAATAGTCAGTAGCTTTTCCTTCTTAACATAGAAGACGACAAAACCATCCTTTTTTGTACAGAACGATTCTTGTTTTCCTTTAGAAACATATCTGTCAAGCTTCTTATGAACTAATTTAAATAATTGGGATACAACACAGTTGTACATGTTACTGTTAAATATGGGCTGTATCAAACATAAGTTGATTCCTACCAATTCTGATTTTGTGTATTTTGTTAAAGGTATTGAGTACATTAATGTCTAGTTTTATATTGTGCATTTGAAGGTTCATCAATAAATACAGTTCTTATTTTTCTGGGTCTTAAAAGATATTTTAAAAGTTTATCTCATTAAGAGTTAACAGGAAGAACAGTGATTCAAATCAAATAATGGTGCCAGAAACCCATACTTGAATTTTTAGTACAGACAGGTTACTCTTTGCATCAGTTCTGAGGAAACTAAAATTCTAGGGTTAATCAGGATAAAAAAGAATTGAGCAAGGATTGTGGAGGGATCTGTATCATTCTGGTGACAAACCTCTTCTAGAAAAAGCTAGAAAGCCTAAGAATAAGTGAAGTTGCTTGTTCTCACCTGGAAAGGTCAGTTACTCACAAAATTTTTAGAGTCTATCTTACGCCATAATTCTATCACTGAGAGAAGAAACTTTTCCAATCATCATGTAATCTTCATGTAAATTTGTATTTTTAATTGCAGAATTCATACCACAGGCAAAGTCCCAATGTCCGCATTTGCTGTTACCTTAAATAGTCAAACCCCAAAGTTATAGTAATCTTTTTTTAAGCGAGAATAGTTTGCAGAGTAATCTCAGTTCAATAAATGTTTCACTGGATTCAACTGATTTCTGTGAATGGTTTAGAGTTTTTCTTACTTCCAAATTGTTTTTATTCTGTGGAATATTGGACTTATTTTTGTAGTCCCAAAAGAAGAATAAATATTTATTTATTTGCTGTTATGAGTTGTAGTTTTGTGTTGTCTAGTTTGTTACTGACACTTGATAAGTTAAATGTAGGTCACCTGAACCAAATACAAAGAAGGACCCAGTTCTGAGAGTGTGGGTGTTTGTTTTCTTGTTTTTTGTTTTTTTCTATAGGAGAGGAACAAGGTAAGCTAAATAAACAAAATAAAGCAAAAAAGTACTGATTTTTAGCCCTCTATATGTATTTTCACTTTCTGTAGTTTTAGCTACTTACAATCACATTCAAAATATTACATAGAAAATTCCAGAAATAAACAATTCAAAAGTTTTAAATCACTGGTGGTTTTGAGTAGTGTAATTAAATCTCATGCCATCCTACTCAGTCAGCCTGAACTCCCTTAGAATCATCCCTTTGTCTCGTGTATTCACATTGTATTTACTCCGTCTGTTAGTCACTTGTTGCAATATTGCAGTGCTTGTGTTCAAATAACGCTTATTTTACTTAAGAGTGGCCCCAAGGCACAAGAGTACTGTGCCTAATTTATATAATTTTTAACATTTAATTTATAAATTAAACTTTTTCATTGAAATATATGTACAGAAAAAAACATATTATGTATAGAATCTGGTACTATTCTGCGGCTTCAGGCATCCACTGGAACTCTTAGAATATATCCTCCGTGGATAAGGAGAAACCGTATATGGTTAACCTAGGAGCTAGGGTCAACTGTCGGAAGAGATTTTGGGGATAATTACATGGAAGGTCATGGTGGCTGGTGGTTTCAGATGACAAGAATGTTTTTGAATAACAGATCCTTTGTATATTCAGACTTTCCAGAACTTCTTTTTTTTTTTTAATTCTAAAACATTTTATTTAAAACAATCATGGGGAAAACAAGAACTTTGTAGATTTCTTTTTTTTTTTTCTTCCCATTTATTTATTTTATTGCATTTTAGGTTTTGGGGTACATGTGAAGAACATGCAAAATTGTTGCATAGGTACACACGTGGCATTGTGATTTGCTGCCTTCCTCCCCATCACCTACATCTGGCATTTCTCCCCTTGCTATCTCTCCCCAGCTCCCCACTCCCCACCGTCCCTCCCCTATTTCCCCACAACTGACCCCAGTATGTAGTGCTCCCCTCCCTGTGTCCATGTGTTCTCATTGTTCAACACCCGCCTATGAGTGAGAACATGCGGTGTTTGATCTTCTGCTCTTCTGTCAGTTTGTTGAGAATGATGGTTTCCAGGTTCATCCATGTCCCTACAAAGGACCCAAACTCATCGTTTTTGATGACTGCATAATATTCCATCCAGAACTTCTTGAGAATTATGCAGAGATATTTAATCAGTCAGAAGGTTGAATAGTCAAAATATTAGTGAGTGAAGTCTATTTTGATGAGGATTTTACTAATGGTATCCCTTAGATATTATAAGTAAATTGTTGTTTTCTTTCGAAATATCTGAAACCTAGTTAACACAGATTTTTATTTATTCTTGCAAAGATATGTAAAGCTATTTGGGAGGTTGTTGTCATCTGCTCTTTGATATTCATGGGCTTTCTTCACAGAAGACTAGAAATTAACAGAGTCACGATGAATTATGGCAACATTGACTTTAAAAAAGCAAACATCTCTTTAATGTTATTTAATAATTTTGAATAAATTTGATATGGCAAACTAATCAGTTATAATTGAGAAAGGAACTTAATTCTAATACTTTATTGGTATCCCATAATAACCCATAATACTAAGAGACAGTTTTGGAGGGCGAGAAGTCCTGAAGAGCTGATAAAGGTAAAGGCTCAAATTTGAGCTTCTTTCAGTATTCCTTACATCAATGATTTTAGTTTCTTATACAAAGTAAATTAAAACATGACCTTTTTAGTGGGAAAAAGTAAAAATTAATAAATTATAGAAGCCTTGTTTGAGGCCAAAAAGTGTGTGACATTTAAATAGAAATGAAGAACTTCAGAGTTTATGATACTTTTTCAAAACAGCTAACAAACTGACACTTGGACACAGGTAGAATTTTTTCAAAAGCAATTTTTATAAAATCAGAAAAATGTTTACCTCTTATGGGGGGCATTGACTGGAAAGGAATACAACAGAACTTTCTGAGATGATAGAAATGTTTTTTATCTTGATGGGATGTGGGTTTTATAGGTTATGAAAAACAAACAGTAATAAGTAAATAAAAAGAAAGTTGCCAGTACAGTTTTATTCCTGTGATGTTTTTAATTGACAGGTGCCTCCTTGCTGAGATACATAATGAGAAGTTTCGATTATACAAATTAAAGATGATGTCAAAGATGGAAAAATACCTTCATTCTAGCAGGTGTAGGAGACGGTATGGATTATTTATTTTATGCCAGTAACATGGATTTGTGGATGATGCTCTTTTAAGAAAATGGTTTTGCTAAATAATTATAAGTATTTTGAAAAAATATTTTGTTGATGTTACATCTGTGCTGAATTTTTAAGGCAAATTTCTTTGTGCCTTAGTAAACTAAAGTCAAATAATGAGGTCCCAAGTGGATCAATTAATGATGATTTTCCCTCTATTTTCAGGAATGTATTTAACATATATGTTTTTGTTCTTTTATTTAATTTAAAATTTTGTCTTGGGTAGAATCATCTTGTCTCATTTTGAGGACAAACAAGTACAAAAAGCCTCCTTGGGAATTACGGGAACTGAAAAATGCTGTGATAACTGCAGGTCCAGGTAAACATTTCTTCTTATAGATGGACATTCTAAAAGTCTTTGTTTCTCTTCCTTTTCATGTTTAACTGAATTTTTGTTGGCTGGTAGGTATTTCAGTTTCTTAAATTAATTAATGCATTTAGATATAAGAGAAAGCAAACAATATTAAAGTGTTTTGCTTAAAAAAATAGATAAAGCAATGAAATAGTAGCCCTAAATCTAAATATATCAAGTTATATTAAATGTAAATGACCTAAAATATTATTTAAAGGCTTAAATTATAAGAATTGGTTTAAAAACACGACCTTGTTCTATATGTTGTCCATAAGAAATCCACTCTAATTATATAGATAGGTTTAAAAAAGAATGAAACATTACATTCCATGAAAACATTAATCAGAAGGAAGCTGGAGTTGTTACTTTAATATCAGACAATGGAGACTTTGGAAAAAAGAATATTATCAGGATAAAGAAGGATGTTATATGATGTAAAAGGATCATTTTACCATTGTATCTGTCAGAGTTCACCAGAGAAGCAGGACCATTGATGTTATGTATATATGTATGGGGAGGGGAAGGGAAAACAGATGTGGGGAAAGTGGGATGAGGGGACTGATTTTGAGGAATTAGCTCACGAAACTGTGGGAGTTGGCAGGTCTGAAATTGGTAGAGCAGGCCAATAGGCTGGAAACTCAGGCAAGAGGTGATGTTGCAGCCTTGAGGCAGAATTTCTCCTCTAGAAAACCTAGTTTTCGCTCTTTAGTCCTGCCCCTGAGTGGATGAGACCCACCCATATTATTGACAGTAATCTTATATATTTAAAGTCAACGGATTGTAGATGTTAATAATGTCTACAAAATATTTTACAGCAACATCTAGATTAGTGTTTAACAATTGACGTCATAGGCTGGCCAAGTTGATGCATTATATTAATCATTACAACCAAGAAGACATCATCCTAAATATACATGTATACTTACCAAAAGGACTGAAAGAATCTAAAGGAGAAATAGAGAAACCTATGATTACATTTGATGACTTCCAACATCTCTCAGTAAGCAATAAAACTAACAGACCAAAAAATCAGTAAGAAGATAGAATAAATGAGCAGGACTATCAACATACTGGATCTCATTTTATAGAACATTCTACCCAGAAGCAGCAGAGTTACACATTATTTTCAAGTGCAGATGCAATATTCATGAACATAAATCATATTCAGAGTCATAAAACAAACCTTAACAAATTTAAGAATCTTGTATTTGTATTTTTTTGACTATAATGGAATTAAACTAGAAAGCAATAACAGAAAGATAACAAAAAAGTCAACAACCTTAGAAATTACATAACACACCTCTAAATAAATGCATGAGTCAAAGAGGAAGTTTCCAGGCAAGTTAGAAAATGTTTTGAACTGAATGAAATGAAAATACAAAATGTGTGAGATGCAGCTAATGCAATACTGAGAAGGAAATTTATAGCATTAAATACCTATATTATAAAAGAAAGGTCTCAAATTGAAACCTAAGCTTCCATCTTAACAAGCAAATAAGAGCAAAATAAATCAAAAGGAAGCAAGGAAATAATAAAGATAAGAGCGTAAATCAATGAATAAAAAACAAAAACAATAGAGAAAATCAGCTCAAAATCTTATTCTGTGTAAAGATCAATAAAATTGATATAAACTTCTAACAAGACTGACAGAAAGGGAAGAGACACAGAGACCCAATACCAGAAATGAAAGGGGATTTCACTACAAACTCCACAGGTATTAATAGGGAAGATAAGGGAACTCTGTGGACAACTCAGAACATAACTTAATAATTTAGATGAAATGGGACAATTTCTTGATAATCTCAAACCAATTAAACTTACAGTGAGTTAGATAACCTGCATAGTCTTACAACCATTAGAGACGTTGAATTCTATGTTAAAAATCTCTGAAAATAAAATTTCCGAGCACAAAAAGTTTCAATGACAAGTTCTATCAAACATTTAGAAGACAAAATAATGCCGATTCTATAGCATGATTCCATTTATATAATACCCTTTGAAACATCAAACAATACTAGAGGGATGAAGAAAAGATCAGTGGTTGTCAGAGATTAGGGGGAAGGAGAAGGTATGATTCCAAACGGTAGTGTAGCACAAGGCAGTGTTTTGGAGTGTTAGATTTATTGTGCCCTGATCGTGATGGGAGTTAGATGAATCTATGGATGTTTTAAAATTTGTAGAACTTTACACATACACACAACCAATTCGCCTATATTAATTGAAAAAATGAAATAAAAACAAATTATTCACCTAGCTGGATTAGCTACATACCTAAGTGCAATAGCTGCATTACTGTAAGAAAAAAGAAGCATTATTAGGGATGGAGTTGTTCTCTGTTTAATGAGAAATAGTTTCTTCACTAAGAAGACAGAATTGTTCTATGCATCTCAAAAACAAAAACAAAAACAAAAAACAACCAACGAACAGCAAGTTGCCTGGTGCTGTGAGTCACACCTATAGTATCAGCTGAGGTGGGAAGATCACTTGAGACCATGATTTTTTGAGACCATCCTGGGCAAAAAAGCAAGACTGTGTCTCTACAAAAATTAAAAAATAAAAAAAATAAACTTAGCTAGGTATGGTGGCATGTGCCTCTCTAGTTCCAGCTACTCTGGAGGCTGAGGTGGGAAGACCACTTGAGCCTGGAAGGTCAAGACTGCAGTTGCATTGAGCTGTGATGGCACCACTGCACTCCAGGCTGGGCTTCAGAGTAAGACTCCATCTCACATAAAAAATAAATGAATAAATAAGAAAAACAATTGGTCTGGACATGGTGGCTCACACCTGTAGTCCCAGCACCTTGGAAGGCCAAGGCAGGAGAATTGCTTAAACCTAAGACTGAGAACAGCCTGGGAAACATAGCAAGACCCTGTCATTATTTAAAAAAAAAAAAAAATAAAAAATCCAGCAAACACGTAAAGCACAAAGCTGACAGAAGAGGTGGAGAAATCAATAAATTCACCATCAAAGTGGGAGAATTTGAAAAAACTTTTAGTTATTGGTAGGGTAAACAATCCAAAAATTAGTACATTATGGAAAATTTGGTCAGCATAGTAACAAGTTTGATTTATCAGATACGTAGTATATAGAATCCTAGACCAAGCAACTGTAGCAGTGTATCTCAAGTATTTTTACTTCATGGCCCACATAGCACATGATATGTGTATATAACACACTGGGCTAATTGTCAGAGATCAGTTTCTGTCCAAAACCCTAAGATCTGGAGTGATTAGTCTTTCAGCACACTGATTGAGAAGCACTGAAAGACTTTGCTTCTCAAACATACATGGAATGTTTCCAAAAACTATGCGTTGGGTTGGCAAACTATGGCCTGTGAGCGAAATCTGCATGCTGCTTGTTTTTTTTTGTTTGTTTTTTGTTTTTACTTTTTTTTTTGACATAGGGTCTCACTCTGTCACCCAAGCTGGAGAGCAGTGGTAGGACCATAGCTCACTGTAACCTCGGATTACTGAGCTCAAGCAATTTTCTCACCTCAGCCTCCCAAGTAGCTACAGGCACGCATTGCCATGCCCAGTTAATTAAAAAAAAAAAAAATCGTTAGAGACAGAGTCTTGGTATATTGCCTAGGCTGGTTTTCAAACTCCTGGCATCAGTCAGTCCTCCTACCTCAGCCTCCTAAAGTGCTGGGATTATAGGCACGAGCCATCACACTCGACTAATGTTATTGTAAATAAACTTTTCTTGGAACACAGCTGCACCTTTTGCTTATGTGTTATCTGTGGCTGCTTGAGTTGAGTGCTTGACTGCAAAGCCTGTCATGGCCCAAAAAGCCTGAAATACTATCTGGTCCTCTATAGAAAATGTTTGCTGACCCTGTACTAGACTAGCTTGTCTCAAAAATTTTCAATGAATTTGAAACTTTTCTCCCCACATTTTCTGACCATAATGCATTTGAGCTAGAAGTAAATAAGTGGATAGACAACAAAATTCTCATGGATTTGGAAATTAAAATTAGCACTTAAATAAGTCATACCCAAAAAATCAAATTGGAAATAAAAAAAAATTAAACCTAGGGATAAATACATTAATATGCATCAACATTTTTAGAACTTAGGGATAATTACAGTAATATAAATTAAAAGATAAGAGGGCATGGTGGCTCACACCTGTCATTCCAGCTCTTTGGGAGGCTGAGGAGAGAGGATCACTTGAGGCCAGGAGTTCAAGACCAGACTGGGCAACATAATGAGACCCCATTGCTACAAAATTTTAACAACAACAACAAAAAAAAACTGGTAAGAGGCAGCATAGATAGTACTTTGTGGAAATTTGATAGCTTAAAATACTCATAATAGAAAAGAAGATTAATCAGCTAAGCATCTCACTAAAGAGATTAGAGTAGGAGAGTAAACCTAAGCATAGTTTTTTTCTCCACATTATTATATCTGGAATATTGAATGCTTTCTTATTGCTATTTCAAAGATACTTATTCTAAGGAAAGCAATTGAATTAGGTAGTTGAACTCTATAGCAGATTTTCTTTAATGAGTCCTTTTGTTCTCAATCTACTTAAAGAATTCTCATTTGAATTTATGATAATTTCAGATCTACCTGAAGGGTGACTTAGGAATTTAACTTCCAAATCTACTTAAATGAAAGGTTTATAATAATTGTGTCATATTTTACAGTCATTATTGTTTAACAATTTATAGCATAGGATTTGGGTTTTTTTTTTTTTTTTTTCATTTTAAACAAGAAGTTTTTTTAAACAAGACACTTGACTAAGGGAAAACTATCTTGGAGTTATGATTACTAGAGTAATTTGTTTCTCCCTAAAGACAGAGTGGTCTATATGTAACAGCTACATAAAAACGGTTATAAAATTGTCCTTGGTTTTACAATGATAAATGAAAAACATTAAAATTCTCCAATTGAACAAGGTATGCAAGGATTTTTTATTGTTTTTTGCTAAAGCAAAATAGCATCCTGGAGTATAAAGATAAGAGCTGAATGAGCAGGCCACTAGGGGACAGAGGGAGTCTTCCCAGAACCGATGCTTCTTTTTCCCATCCCATCTGCATTCAAAGTCAATCCAAACATATTATTGGACATTTAGTTAAAAAAAAAAAAGAAAAGTAATATACTTGTGGACATACACCAGTTACTTTATGTGCAATAAAGGAATGAGGAAGGGAAAATGAAAGAATAGAGAAAACTATGTAGCCAGGATGTGGTGGAAACAAATTGCAACTTTCATTCTTTTTTTTTTTTTTTTTTTTTTGAGATGGAGTTTCGCTCTTGTCACCCAGGCTGGTGTGTAGTGGCACCATCTCAGCTCACTGCAGCCTCTGCCTCTCAGGTTCAAGCCATCCTCCTGCCTCAGTTTCCCAAGTAGCTGGGGTTATAGGTGCATGCCACCTTGCCCGGCCAGTTTTTGTATTTTTAGTAGAGATGGGGTTTTACCATGTTGGTTAGGCTGGTCTTGAATGGCTGACTTCAAGTGATCCGCCCACCTTGGCCTCCCAAAGTGCTGAGATTACAGGCGTGAGCCACCATGTCCAGCCAAATTGCAGCTCTCTACTTGAGACTGTATTCTTGGTCTGGAAGAGCAGAGTTCTTCAGTAAAGTAGCAGGTCCCCCTTTTAGTAGACATCTCCATGTCTGCTGCTGGAACACATCAATTTTATCTTAAGCCTCGCTTCCAAATGTGCAGATATATCTGGTTCATTGATTGGCTGCCTGTCAGATTGAAACCTGATCTGCGTCATTGACAAACCGTGTCCCTCACAATAGGCTTTCTTTGGTTTACTAAGTGGGGCATCCCTCTTCATCTTAAACTGCACCACAGTGCCATCCTGCCCCATCACCTTCAAATGAACATTACCCTTGTTCTCAGTCTTCTTCCTTGGGCTTTTTGTGGATCCTGGTGAGTGCGGCAGTCTCCTCAGCTGCTGCTTTACAAAAGAGGTACCAGGTCTGCCCCGAATGAGTGAGCCCATAAACAGCACCAGCAGTGGCAGCAACTGAGATGTATTTTTCTAAGCTGAAAGCTTTTTTTTTTTTTTTTGCGGGGGTTGGGGGGCAGCAAATCTGTTTTTGCAACACACCCTTAACATTGAAGTCCAGCATTTATATAATTGGTCAAGTAAGTGGATCTGTTCTAGCTATAAATACGGCGACTCTGCTTGCTCATACTATTAGTAACATTATTCCTTTCTGTGGTCTGAGGCACCTTGCATGAAACTTGCTTCCAGGGCACTAGGATTGAGAACCATCAGCATAACCTGTCTGTTATGCTACTTTATATTTTTCATATTTTAGATACTTTACACACTTGGCTAAAATGAACTTTATTCGTAGTTTCTGGAGCAGTTGGCACATTTGAGATATTTTTTTCTTGGCTCATTGTTATGCTAAATCTTTCAATTTCTAAAGATACATGCCTTGGCTAAGCTTTCTTCATTTGTTGTTATTTTTGTTTAGATTGGGTCATTGCTATTCCATGGATGACTCAGAAGATACATCTTGGGACTTTGGTCCACATGCATTTCAGCTCTTGTCTGCTGTGGACATCTTAGGGGAAAAATTTGGAATTGGGCTTCCAATTTTATTTCTCCGAGGATCTGTAAGTATATATCTGAATTCCCTTCATAGTTCTTTTACTTCTATTATGCTTTTCTTCAGAGATTTACTGTATTATGATTGTAGCTTTGACTTCAGATGGTCATTAGGAACTCATAGAGTCATAGTAAGTTCCAGTTAAACACTCCATTCATTACTTTCGATAAAACCTGTGCGCATGGCATCTTCTGCTGTTTTCATGTTCCAGGCCGATGGTCAGCTCTGCAGCTCAGTCTGGAACTGTTGTGCTAGTGTATCACATTGCAGTTGGGTGAATCCCTAGACTAGTCTTACTTGGGATAATGAAGAAAAGTTAACTTTCATTGTGTTAAGGGACAGGTAGAACAAAACTGTCCTTTTGTCCAGGAAACTATCAAATTCTTCAAGGAAAACTTTAGTTATACAGACTATTTTGTAAATATCTAATTTTTTTGACTTTAACAATGAATAAATAGTCAATTAAATTCAGCTACTTTTTTTTTTTTTTTTTTTGTTGAGCCTTGCTATCTCACCCAGGCTGGAGTGCAGTGGCTCAATCTCGGCTTACTGCAACCTCTGCTTCCTGGGTTGAAGCCAGTTCTCCTGCCTCAGCCTCCCAGGTAGCTGAGATTACAGGTGACTGCCACCACACCTGACTGAAATTTGTATTTTCAGTAAAGACGGGGCTTTACCAATTTGGCCAGGCTGGTCTCCAACACCTGACCTCAGGCGATCCACCCACCTCGGCCTCCCAAAGTGCTGGGATTACAGGTGTGAGCCACTGTGCCCGGCCAAGTTCAGCTACTTTTTTTTTGGAGTGATTAATGTGCCAGTATTCTCCTAAACAAACACAGATACAAATGTGAAGAAGATATGACCCTTGCAGTCCAAAAGCTTGTTCTGTAGTCCTTTTCTTTATATGATTTTTTTCCCCCAGATTTAGAAGTCTATAAAGAAAAGCTAAGTATTACACACTGATATTGGCTGAATAATCAAGAGTGAGAGATAGGATCCTTTGCAAATATGCATATTTATTAAAATATACTTTAGAGATTAAAGTTCTCATTTTGAATGTAGAATTTAAAAAGTCATTTAGGTAAGCATTTATTTGTGAAACACCGAAATGCTTCATGTAAATACTTTGTGAGTTTTTATTTTGTTTAGAAAGGAACATATTAAATTAGTTATGAAATATTTTAAATGAAATATGTTGAAATCTTCTGTTGTTTTTCACGTGCTGATGTTTTTAGATTCTAAGTGGAGTTTAAAATTTTGTTTGCAAATCACAAGTTGGATTAGAAATTTAATAGTAGAAGTGTTGCCTAAGGAACTGTTTTAGGTGCTATGAGTGAAACTATTTTTTATAACACGAATTTTAGTTGTAAGGGACAGCTTAAATATAATTGAGATCTATGAAAATGTGTTGTCTCTATCGCCTTCAAAACGTGTATCCTAATTGAATGTATAATTTATAAAAATTATTCTTGTTTTAATTTGGTATAATCCAGCCATATCCAGTATCAACAAATAAGTCTAAGTAGGCTCCTTGACAAACTTGAACTGGCCACAAGAGAGATCAGATTTCACCTATTAAAAAACCAAATCAGACCACTTATACTGACAGTCTCTTCTGGGAGTCCTCAAATTAAGAAGTTTATCGTTTGTGAAATATTATACTACCCTTGCTAGATAAAAGTAAAACTTTTTTGAAAGTACCACTTAATGAAAATCTGTAGACACTAAATGCAGTGAAAATAAGGCAAGTTTTTTTTCTCCCCCTTTCAGTGATCTTGGTATCTTGGGATATTGTTTTCAAAATTATCATTATAATTCCCTTGAGAATTTAGTAAAATGTTCCCCTTAACCAATTTAAGAAAATTTAATATCTTTGTATGTGATTTTGATCTGTAAAATAAACATTTTGAACTGCAAATGATTGGAATTTAAAGAGATAATGTATATAAATATATACAGTATCAGCAGCATTTAATTCTCTCTTACTCAAGATTTTTCTAAGTAGTATAAATAATTATGTAGCCTATCTAAGAGTTTGTGAATGGAATTTAAAATTTTGTTTTGCAGCCACAAGTTTGATTAGAAATTAAACAGTAAAGGTATTACTTAAGGAGCTTTGTTTTAGCTGTCTAAACAGTTTACCATATAAAAATCTTTAAACACTGTATAAATATGTGATAAGATATGCAATGGCCTTAATTTTATAGATTAGAAAATAAAAACACACTCATTAATTTGCGTAACTGAGAGATTACGTGAAACTTCTTTTCTGATCACATTAATAGAATGCCAAACCCTGTTGTGGCCCTAGAATTAAAGAGTAGTTTTGATAAAACATGATTTGATTATAGACAGTTGTTGAAACTCTTGGTAGTTTTAATCACCCTTGTTAATTTTCAAACTGTCTAACGGGAGAGAGTTATCCATTCTATTTTCCACACAAGCTATTTTCATCTGAATGAAATATATTCCTGTGGATAATTATCACTACGTCATCTTTTGGTTTTATTTTGCACATTGAATTATAGCTCACAATGACTTTCTGAAGCCCTAAAGTTGCAGCTGTGAGCTTCTTGGCCTGTAGGAACTGGGATAAAGCACCCCTGCCTCTGCCCTCAAAGGAAGTTAAAGTGTTTTTAACAATGGCTATGGGCTTTTTGTAGTTTAAGAACTTAGGAGTTTCCCCGACTAGAATGCAGTGGTATGATCATAGCTTGCTGCAGCCTTGAACTCCTGTGCTCAAGCAATCCTCCCACCTCAGCCTCCAGAGTAACTGGGACCACAAGTGCCACCACACCCAGCTATTTAAAAAAAAATTTTTTTTTGTAGACATGAGGTCTCCCCATGTTGCCCTGCCTGTCTCAAACTCCTGGGCTCAAGTTAAGGGGAACATTTTACGAAGTGAGATCCCTCCACCCTTGGCCTCCCAGAGCACTGAGATTCACTGTACCATGCTGAGTTTAAAATTTCCTGAGTTGGAGTTTATAACTATTTTTTTCCACTAATTATTAAACGTGTAGTTTTGTATAAGGCACTGTATTGTATTTTGAGGGGGATTCAAAGTTTAATTAGATGAGATGCATCATCTAGTATGGAAGGTGTTACTTAAGAAGAAATAAGTATAATATGGGGATAAAGAGATAAGAGATCTGAGAATAGACGTAAGTGTTATTGAAGTTCTGAAGAGAGAAAGTGTTTAGAGAAATTAGAGGAGCCCTCATGAGGGTATCACTAGAACTTCCTATTTTTGTAGAGTATATGGTAGATTTTGGCGTAATACTGTTGATTTGGACTTTCATTCAGAGAAGGAATGAAGGAAGAAGGGTGGAGAAGAATGTGATATTCACAGTACAAAAAGCAGTGGTGATTTTTTTTTTTTTTGAGACGGAGTTTCGCTCTTGTTACCCAGGTTGGAGTGCAATGGCGCGATCTCGGCTCACCGCAACCTCCGCCTCCTGGTTTCAGGCAATTCTCCTGCCTCAGCCTCCTGAGTAGCTGCGATTACAGGCACGTGCCACCATGCCCAGCTAATTTTTTGTATTTTTAGTAGAGACGGGGTTTCACTATGTTGACCAGGATGGTCTCGATCTCTTGACCTTGTGATCCACTCGCCTCGGCCTCCCAAAGTGCTGGGATTACAGGCGTGAGCCACCGTGCCCGGCCTGCAGTGGTGATTTTTAAAGAAGTTGCTGTGGAGAAGTGGCAAGTTTTTTCTTTTGTTTGTTTGTTTTTCTGTTCTTTTTCTCTATCAGATACTGATGTAAAGCTTTTGCTTTTACCAGAAACTGATACTTTGGGTCATCTACTCTGAGCAGTCAGTTCTCTTTATTCTAACACTTACCCATCAATTAGTAGGTTTCCACATTCCATTATATGTCCATTTTGGTGACCCTTATTTTTCTATCTGATTTATAAAGGGAAAGAAGGAGATAAGTCACCCAGGCTCTAAGTACAGTGATGTGATCATAGGTCACAGCAGCCTCAAAGTTGCCAGATTAAGTGATCCTACCTCCTTGGCCTTCCGAGTACATGGGACTATAGGTGCATGCCACCATGCCCAGCTAACTTTTTTGTAGAGACCTAAAGAGTTTTCTTATGTTGCCCAGACTGGTCTCGAACCCTTGGGTGCAAGTGAGCCTCCCACCTTGGCTTCCCAAGGTTGGGATTACATGCATGAGCCACTGTGCCTGGTCTGAAAATTTTTATTTTGAGATGGAATCCCACAGAAGTATACCTGCTTGGATGTAACATTGGCAAAAAGACTGTTTAACATTATTGCCTTATTTTACTGTAGTTGAGATTGAGTTAGACTGAAAGCCGAATGACCTGCCCTAGGTCATACTGTTACTTTGTGCCAGAGTCAGGATGAGCAAACGGCTTTCCTGCCTGCTAGTCTAGTGTCTTTTCTATTTATTATGCTGTTACGTGCAGTTTTAAGTTTGTATTTTTATGCCCAATGGCCACAGTGACTTACATCTATAATTCCAGCACTTTGGGAAGCCAAAGTGGGAGGATTGCTTGAGACTAGGAGTTCGAGACCAGCCTGGGCAACATAGTGAGACTCTGTCTCTAAAAAAAGAAATTAAAAATTAGCTAAGTGTGGTGGTGTGGGTGTGTAGTCCTCCTTATGGGAAGGTTGAGGTGGGAGGATTGATTCAATCTAGGAGTTCAGGACTGCAGTTAGCCATGATTACACCACTGTATTCCAGCCTGGGTGATAGAGCAATACCCTGTTTGAAATGAATGAAAGAGCAGGTTTCTTATCGTAGGTAGTTTTTACTCTATCAGTGGACAACCTGCAAAATTAACTAGAACACTTAAGCAATTAACAGAGAAGGCCTTGTTCAGAGTGTGAAATAATTAAGCATTTGTTGTTGAAAATTCTTACTGTGTTGTTTTTTTTTTAAATGTTACTTGTTTTAGTAACATTTCTAGTTGAAAAGGGAATGTGATTCCTTTAAAACAAAGATACTCTGCTTTAAAGCAAAGATGTTTCATCCTCTTCATGGTGATTGCCATGGAAACCAGACAACGTAAATATATTCACGTAGTATACAGTGTTACTAGTTATTGATCATGAGGGGAAGGGACAGTTACTCCGTACTGATCAGAGAAAACCTCATTGCTTCATACTAATAAACTTTTTTTTTCTGCTTATGAAAGTAAAAGCCCAAAGAGTAATTTTTAGTGTCTAGAGAGCTAGTGAGTCTAGTTAGGCAACTTGATACTTTTGGTGTTACTTGTTTGCAAGCAATAGAACTACTACAGAGGTAACCCCTAGCAGTTGGAGAGTACCATTAACAAGTGTTCCAGGGAAGAAACCCCACAAGATACCAAGTCATGGCTTTTACTCTTAGGTTAAGAAATTCAGGTTGAGTTAAAGGATCAGCTGTTAACTAATAAAAAGCAGGTTAACATTACTGAGCCAGGCTTTGTCCTGGTTATGGACTTAATCTTCACAGCATCCTCAAGAGATAAAAATGAATATATCTACATATTAGATGAGGAAATAGAAGATAAATAACTTGCCAGAGCTATGACTTGAGCCCAGGTAATGTAGCTCAAGAGCCTCCACATGTATGTTATTGGGGGGGTGTATGTGCATGTGGGACGTGAGTGTGTGTGTGTGTGGGTGGGTGTATGTGTGTGCATGTGGGTTGTGTATGTGTATGTGCATGCTTGTGAGTGTTCATGCATGTGTGTGGTATAATAAGAAAAAATTAGCTTTTACTCCTGTAATCCCAGCACTTTGGGAGGCAGAGGCACGAGGATCTCTCAAGCCCAGGAGTTTAAGACCAGTCTAGGCAACATAGCGAGACCCCATCTCTACAAAAAAAATTTTGAAAAATGTTAATAGACATAGTGGAATACACCTGTAATGCCAGCTACTTGGGACGCTGAGGCGGGAGGATCCTTGAGTCCAGCAGATTGAGGTGAGCTATGATTGAACCTCTGCACTCCAGCTCGGGTGACAGAGACCGTGTCTCAAAAAAAAAAAAAAATCGGAACTAGTCATCTGGAGGCCTATGTTCTAGTTTTAGCTTTAGTACAGGTATACAGTGAGACGTTAGGCTACCATTTAATATCTTTGAGCCTCTGATAATTTGTTAACAACATAAGTAAAAATGACTAAGATAGATCAAAAAGCTCCAACATTCCCTTCAGCTCTGAAATTCCATGATGTTTAATCTTAGTTTACTTATAAAAATAAATTGTATTATGTATATTTAAGGTATATAATATGATGTTATGGGTTACCTATATATAGTAAAATGATTACTATAGTGAAACTGATTAACATGTCCATTATCTTATGTTGTTACCATTTTTTTTTGTGGCAAAAGCAGCTGAAATCCACTCATTTAGTAGGAATCCCAAATACAGTACAGTTGTATTAACTGTAATTCTCATGCGGTACATTTGATCTCTAGACTTGTTTATGTTACATATGTTTGACTTTTAAACATTCTACTCAAATCAACCCTAATTCAGGGTTAGCACAGACAGGACTTGTTAACAAGGAAGGAGGTGCCACATTGTACCTGGGTATTTATATTTCTCTAAATCTTGTTCTGATCATAATTTAATAAATATAATCAGGACACTAAAATTCATTCCTTAGCTATTAAAAATTCTATTTTTATTGTTAAGATTTAGGACAGCATGGTACAGATTCTCTTAACTATGCCTATCAGAAGCCTGTGTTTTAAGTTCAACATATAGACAATGCTCTATTTGTCTCTGTTGGGAATTTATCCTGCTTTAACTAATTTCATCCTAGCTTCCTTTTTGTGAAAGATCACCCTTATTTAGCCTAATTTTTGTCAAATCCACATCTTAGAAATAGTAGCAAATGACAAGCATATTAATATTTATGATATGATTTATTTTTGTTTTCAGTCATATACTTGGGAAGATTCTCAAATATTAAAGCAGTGTATTGTTACATTTAAGTATGTCGTTCTTGTTCTGTTTTAGAATGCTTGTAGTTGCATTTTTAACATTCCACAATGATAAACCTGTAATCATAATGTTTTCTTCAATTCAGTAAAACCAATACGTTTGTAATAGAGAGCCTTATAGTTGCCTTAGTTAAGTTTGCTCCAACTCATTTTATATAGTCTTTTAATTTTGATCCCTGGATTTTTAATTGATTATGAAACCTTCATTAGGGTATATATGAAATGTAAGAATGTTGAGTTATAGTCTGCCTTTTTCTAGAATTTTAGACTGCATTTTTATATAGAAATTTAAATTGCTCCTAATCATTCTGGTGAATTTAAGCAGAAAGGTATTTATTACTAGGTATAAAATGGCTTATGATATTGTTGACAAGATTCTACTGCAAAATAGTTTACCAAGGGAGCTGTGTGGCCTCTTCTGTGATCAAGAAACCATCTGTCAACTTGGGAAGCTTCCACTACAGCACCTAACCCCAAACTGCATTGAGTAGGAGGCTGTAATAATCAGGAAGGTTCTACCTTTGCTTGCTCTGCAAACTAACGTTAACCTGCTATAATTTGCAACCACAAAATGGATGCCTGTTGATACTTATGAAGCTGGTCATTGTATGCTGGATTCTTGGCTCACACTTTCTTATAAAAATTAAATACCTCCACAATCATGCATGCCTGCAAAAACAGCAGAGGAGTAGCCTTAGCCTCACTTCCTGCTTACACCTGTCATGCAAATATACAGAACCCAGAACCCTAGCTGAAAGGGAGTTTGAGATGTAGTATATGTATCGTCCCAGATTCTGCAGTGGAAGAATTCATAGTGGATGGAAGTTAGAATAACCCTTGAATTACAATCAGTCATATTCACCACAAATACATTTAATGTGAATAATTTTCCATGAAGCCTTATGTTTGTATACTTTTTTTTTTTTTTTTTTTTTTGCAACAGGGTCTCACTCTGTGGCTCAGGCTAGAGTGCAGTGATGTCATCATAGCTCACTGCAGTCTTGATCTGCTGAGCTCAAACGATTCTCCTGCCTCAGCTACTGCTCCTGGGTAGCTGGGATGATAGGTACACACCACCACACTTTGCTAATTTTTTTTTTTTTTTTGTAGAGATGGGGGTCTCACTGTGTTGCCCAGGATGGTGTTGAGCTCCTGGGCTCGTGATCCTCCCATAGTGTTGGGATTACAGGCATGAACCACTGTGCCTGGCCCATGTGCTTCTATATATATTTAAAAGTATGAAAGAGGCAGTAAAAAGACAAAGAAATGAAAAATACTTTTATAGGGAGTGAAAGCAGGAGAGTCCTCTCTGTTAGAGAACAACAGACTTGCATATGACAGACTAGCTTTCCTAACATTTCTAGAACTTGATGCCTGTGAAGAGCCTCCCATGGGAATTGTCCTTTCACTTAGGAAAACATACCTCAAAACCATCCGCTGCTTAGTATGCACCTGCTTTTCCTGGTGTATCTCAATGAAGCAGCTAAATCATAAATGATTAAGTAAACTTTGCAGTGCATCATGTGCAAAAGCACAGTAAAAACAAAAATGCATTGGAAGCTGTGAGTTGTTGCACTGCACTCATGGATGAGTAGCTGTTGGTTCACATTGCCTTTTATATAATTCTCAGGGTTCCAGTCTCAAGCTGTAGAATTTTGATCGCTGCTTCAAACAATAATGCGAGTTTGCTAAGAGGTCTAAATAACAAAAGCGAACTATTCCAAACCCATGTCCAAACCTATACACTGGGAAATGCATCTGAATTATATGTGAAATTTCCTGCCATTATTTAAGAAACAAAAGGAACATTATTTTGATAATACATTTATTTGTGAGTGTTTAGAATGACCACGATTGGTATAACATTTTTGTAGGTTTTTAAAGCTGAAATTTAGTGTAAATCCAAAGAATCAATAGACAGGTCGGTGTTTTACTTAACCTGAATGTTTAAATTAGCATTTTTAGATACTGATTTTATTCCTTTTTTCAGAATTCTCAGCGTCTTCCAGATCAATATCGCAGGCACAGTTTATTTGGCACTGGGAAGGATCAAACAGAGAGTTGGTGGAAGGCTTTTTCCCATCAGCTCATCATTGAGGGATTCTTGGTAGAAGTTTCTAAGTCTGACAAATTTGTGAGGATTTGCATGCTTACAGAAAAGGTAAACAGTGTAGGAGTTTGCCTTTTTTACTTAATTTTGTTTCCCACTCTATATTAAAAGATCCTTCTTGCTTTTGATAGGGTAGAAATTGGCTTCATAAAGCTAATACAGAATCTCAGAGCCTCGTCCTTCAAGCTAATGAAGAATTGTGTCCAAAGAAGTTTCTTCTGCCTAGGTTCATTTTTCAGTATTTTTTCTTGTAACTTCTGGGTTTTGTTACTATTTATGTGATTCAAATTATACCAATTTATGGGCATCTCACAGGTAAAATGAATTACCCATTTGTTTTTATATGCATATTTTAGTCAGTTTGGGGGAAGGGATCTGCGAGGAAAGGATAAATCATAGAGCACTTTTCTTTTTTTAAGAGACAAGGTCTCTCTCTGTCGCCCAAGGTGGAGTGCAGTGGTGTGATCATAGCTCACTGCAGCCTCGATCTGCTGGGCTCAAGTGATCTTCAGCCACCTGAGTAGCTGAGACTACAGGCATGTACTACTATGCCCAGCTAATATATTTCAATTTTTTGTATAGAGACAGGGTCTTGTTGTGTTTCCTAGGCTGGTCTTGAACTCTTGAGCTCAAGTGATCCTCCTGCCTCAGCCTCCCAAACCACGGGGATTGCCGGCACGATCCACTGCTCCCAGCCAGAACACTTTCTTGGTTGATGGGAAGTAGGTGACCATGGTATTTAGAAAATTTCTGTCTCATTGATTAAAGAAATAGTATTGAAATCATTGCTAAGAAATCCATATATCGTATTTACTTCTTGTGTGTAGAAGTGTTAAGGGAATACATGTGTTGCTTACTTTTTAGTATTTGCTATTGATCACTTGTAAGTTTTTTCTTTCAAACTTCTCAAAGCTTCTAAAGCTTTTTCTGGAAAAAAATTCAGTTTTAAAAATTGCCAGTTCTAAAAGGATAATCTTATCTCTTTCTGAGAGTGAGAATATAACGATTCATGAATTAGATACTTGCATTTTAACATTTGAGATAATTTAATTTTATTATTTTTCAGCTCAAAAACTGTATCTTCAGACACTAAACATCATTCTTATAATCAAGTACCAATTGAATTAGCTACAGAGAAGAAGGTTTGTTTTAAAGAAATCATTCTTATTTCATTCTTGATTGATTCAACATCTGTTTAAAGTTTTATATTTTAATTCTCTTCCAATTAAAGAGAAAATGTCATATATAACAAAACATAAAATTTAGCAAGAGAGGTGATGTGAACAGACTAAAATATATGGTATATGATTTCTGGGACTAATAAAGAATTGGAAGTATTTGAGAAAGGATTTTATTTGGATTCTTTTAAACCTATTTTCTAAGTCATTTGGGTTAGAGTGTTCACATGTTATAATGCTTATATTTGACCAGAAAATAAGCCTGATTCCTAAGTGTTCTTATTAAAGCTACACATGCACACATAGACACACACACACTCAGACTCACACACACACACACACACACACATGCACGCACACACACTCACATATTTTCTTGCTTTTTTTTTGGCCTTAGATCTTAACTATTACAGATTAAATACTAATCCACTGGCAGACTTCAGCTAATTAGAGCACTGGAATAATAGACAAATAGAGTGAATTATATTTTCTGGTGAGCCTTTTCTGCTTTATTGAAGTATGCAGAATGTAATTGAATTGTTTTTATAACTTTGGCACTTGCTATATCTTAGAGCATTCTTTTGATGATTTACTTCTGTAGTTTTGGGAGGGATAGGACATTGGATTGTGTTTCTAGCTGCCTTTAGAACTTTAGAAACTGATAATTTAGGAGGCTATTTTCAGGTGATTTATTTGATGGCTTGATTAGGCAAAGGAAAAAATGGGATTGTGAGATTTTTGTATCTTATTTTCTTCACACTTAAAAGATTTTTGAGACTTTTTTTTAAATGGACCTTTATATATTTAAATGCAGTCTAACTTGGAGAAGTTATATTCTTACAAACCATGTGATAAGATTTCTTCTGGGAGTAACATTTCTAAAAAAAGGTACGGAGTTCCATATTTTTATGTTCTATACTTACTTTATGAGTATTTTTTTTCTAAAGAGAAAGGACTGTCAGATGTTGGGCTATTTTACTGGCAAAAGGAAGTTAAATTTAAAACATAAGCCCTTCAGTATTAGAATTATTAAAGTGAGCTATAAAATAATAATGTTAATTTAATAGCTAACACTTCTTGGATATTACTGTTTGCCAGGCATTATGTTAAACACTAAGAACTTTATATGTGATATCTCGTTTAATTCTTAAAACAGCCTAACAGCTGTTACTATTTATCGCCATTTTATTGTTGAAGATACCAAGGGTTAAGATGTTGACTAATTTGTTCAAGAGCATACAGCTAATGGCCGAGCTGGCTTTCAAATTTTTGTCTACCTCTAGCATCACGACACTATTTATTTTTATTTGTATGAAATATATACAGGCATACTTCATTTTATTGTGCCTTGCTTTATTGTGACTTGCAGATATTGCATTTCATATAAATTAAAGTCTATGGCAACCTTATGTCAAACAGGTCATGTCAGCACCACTTCCAAAAGAATGTTCTGTTGTCCTGTCTTTGTGTTATATTTTGGTAATTCCTACAGTGTTTCAGATCTTTTCATTATTATCATATCTATTATGGTGATCTGTGATTAGTGATCTTTGACATTACTATTGTAATTGTTTTGGGGTGCTGTTAACCATGCCCATATAAGGCAGCAAACTAAATAAGTGTTGTATGAGTTCTGACTCCTGCACTGACTGGCCACTCACCATTTGTCTCCCTCTCTTCAGGCCTCCCTATTCCCTGAGATACAGCAAAATTGAAATTAGACCAATGAATAACTCTACAATAGTCTCTAAGTGTTTTTTAATTTTAATTTTAATTTTTTGTTTTGAGACTGAGGCTGGAGTGCAGTGACGCAGTCTCAGCTCACTGCAACCTCTGCCTCCCAGGTTCAAGCAGTTCTCCAGTCCTGGGTTCAAGTGATTCTCTCATCTCAGCCTTCTGAGTAGCTGGAACTAAAGGCGCTCGCCACCATGCCTGGCTATTTTTTGTATTTTTAATAGAGACGGGGTTTTGCCATGTTGTCCAGGCTGGTCTGAAACTCCTGACCTCAGGTGATCTGCCTGCCGTGGCCTCCCAAAGTGATGGGCTTACAGGAGTGAGCCACTGCAGTAAGTGAAAGGAAGATTCACATGTCTTTCACTTTAAATCAAAAGCTAAAAATGATTAAGCTTAGTGAGGAAGCCGTGTTGAAAGTTGTGGTAGACCAAAAGCTAGGCCTCTTGCACTAAACAGCCATGCAAAGGCAAAAGTTTCTGAAGGAAATTAAAAATGCTGCTCCAGTGAATATACCAATGATAAGAAAGCAAAGCAGCCTTTTTGCTGATATGGGGAAAGTTTTAGTGGTCTCTATAGGAGAGCAAACCAGCCACAACATTCCCTTGAGCCAAAGCCTAATCCAGAGCAAAGCCCTAACTCTCTTCAATTCTCGGAAAGCTGAGAGAGGTGAGGAAGCTACAGAATAAGTTTGAGGCCAGCAGAGCCTGGTTCATGAGGTTTAAGGAAATAAGCCATCTGCATAACATAGAAGTGCAAAATGAAGCAGCAAGTGCTGATACAGAAACTGTAGCAAGTTATCCAGAAGATCTAGCTAAGATATCAATGAAGTCACCTTCACTAACAGACTTTGAATGTAGACCAAATGCTTTCTACCAGAAGAAGCTGTCTAGTACTTTCATAGCTAGAGAGGAGAAGTCAGTGCAGTGAAGCAGCAAGTGCTGATACAGAAACTGTAGCAAGTTATCCAGAAGATCTAGCTAAGATCATCAATGAAGGTACCTTCACTAACAGACTTTGAATGTAGACCAAATGCTTTCTACCAGAAGAAGCTGTCTAGTACTTTCATAGCTAGAGAGGAGAAGTCAATGCCTGGCTTCAAAGCTTCAAAGGACAAGCTGACTGTCTTGTTAGAGGCTGATGCAGCTGGTGACTTTAAGTTGAAGCCAGTGCTCACTTAGTCTTCTGAAAATCCTAGGGCCCTTAAGAATTATGCTGTATCTACTTGGCCTGTGCTACATACATGTAACAATAAAATCTTGATGATATCTGTTTATAGCATAGTTTATTGAATACTTTAAGCCTATTGTTGAAACCTCTTAGACAAAAGATTCCTTTCAAAATATTACCGACAACACGTAGTCACCAAGAGCTCTAATGGAGACATACAAGGAGATTAATGTTGTTCTCATGCTTGCTAACTCAACATCCAGTCTGTAGTTTATGGATCAAGAAGTAAATTCACCTTTCAAGTATTATTATTTAAGAAATACATTTTGTAATGCTTTAGCTTCCATAGATAGTGATGATCAAAAAAAGGCTTTTAAGAGGTTTCCCACAAAACCTTCTGGAAAATACTCACTATTCTAGATGTCATGAAGAATATTTGTGATTCATGACAGTAGGTCAAAATATTGACATTAATAGGCATTCAGAAGAATTCGATTCTGATTAAACTCAAGATAGACATACTGAGTTTGGGATACTTATGGAGTAGTCCAGAGATTAATTTAAATATATGGGCTTTGTGTACAGAAGTGAGCAGGATGCTTATACATCAATAACTATTATTTTAAGGTTTATTTAAATTTTCATTAAAATAATATCTATACTTGATTTAAAAAGTTAATTGGAAATTAATGGCTTGTGACAAGCATACTAGTCCACACTCTTCCCAAACCCACTTTACTTTTTTTCATAGAGGCTGTCATCTTCAAATCTTCCAGCTGATTTTTCTGGCATTTGCCTTCTTATTTCTGAATGACACAGTTAGAGTACTATTTTTTTTTTTGACTTACCAATGTTAGAAATTTTCTACTGACTTCCTATCATGGTAGATTTCCCCTTCTTCATTCCCCTAACAATGTAATTATGTTTCATCATACTAATAATGTGTTTTTATATATATTTAATATAATAACATTGTATTTATATTATTATATCTACACAAATATTATATACATACTACTAACCCAGCTGTGTTATTATGGCCACCACTACCTTTATTTTTTTCCTGGTGTTAGTGATTTTCTTTGTTTTTAGTGGTCCTTTTCCTAACTTTCTTTTTTCCTGTTTCAATCTCTCATTGTTTACTCATTTGGAGCATGCTGTGACTTTTATCCCCTCCCACCTGGTGACGTTTTAATTTTAGTTATCAAATTTTTAATTTCTAAGAATGCTTCTTGTTCTCTTGTTTTTACTTCCCCACCAACCAAAAATGTATGATGTTATAGCAGGACCATAAATTGTATACCAGTAGGTTAAGAAACCTTGGTTAATACCTGTTGTATCCCAGTAAATTAAAAGATGTCATTGTGCCATCTGCAGTATGGATAAAAGAATATTTTCTTTCAAAAGCATTTGGTTGAGGAAGAGCATGGGACAAACACTCTTTTAAAAACACGCCAATTTTGTAATGAACTCAAATTGCAATTTTTACCATTATAATGAACATATTTGATCCAAAATGTTTAAAATTTAGGCTGCTGTCATTTAAATAACAAATTGCCTTATTGGTATCATGAAGAATAAATGTTAGTACTGATTTGGAAAGATATTCTCAACTAGGGCATAAAATAGAAAGTAAATGAGGAGAAAGAAAAGTTTTTATTATTTGTTTTCTTTTAAATATTTTAGTATCATGGTGCAGTCACTGGAAAATTTTCACAGTGCCTCAGAGCCTGTTATTTCGGCACAAGAGCAAGAGACTCAGGTAAGTCTTTTGTAAACGAGTGAAGTTTATGATGGAGTAGTTATGATTCTGTGCATTCTTAAAATTCTGTATTTTGCCAGTATTTAAAAAATTGTTCTTGAGCTAAAAGTCTGAGTTTATGTTTCAGTTTGTATTCATTTTAAGGAAAAATGTGGTATCTGAAGCTCTAAAAATAAAGGACTAGATCTTTCTATGTACATTTTTTAAAGTGTTGAGTTGCTTCTTTGTTTTTTGTTCAGACTGTATTATATCGCAAATTGGTAGAAGCTAGGCAGAAACAGGCCAATAAAATGGATGTTCCCCCAGCTATTCTGGCAACAAACAAGATACTGTTGGATATGGCCAAAATGAGGTAACTATCTTTTGCCTGTGTTCTCATTTATTTCCTTCTAACAAAATAGATTTGGAAAATATATCTAAGTTGATAACATGACCATGGCTTCCACTGTCACACTGGGAGGTGACTCAGATTCCCCCTGCTGCAATCCTTATCTCTTTGCCAAGCTTTAGTACCATGTTTCTTTATGAATAAAAACCAGCTACATTTTCAGCTATCAGATTCAACATATATAAACTCTAACTCATTATCTGCCCACCCTGCATTTTATCAGAATGCCGAAACTTCTCTTTTTGGATTCTTTATTTTTGATTATCATACCTTCAGATTCCTAGTCAGAGGTTCCTAATGCTTAAAACCTCTGATCCGAATTTTCTCTCCTCCAGTATAAAACCCCTTCCTCTTCTTCTTCTTTTTTTTTTTCTCAAGACAGGTCTCATTCTATTGTCCATGCTGGAGTGTAGTTTGATCACTACCTACTGCAGCCTCGACCTCCCAGGCTCAAGCTATTCTCCCACCTCAGTTACCTGAGTAGCTGGGACTACAAGACATGCCACCATGACCAGCTAATTTTTGTATTTTTTGTAGAGACAGGGTTTTGCCATACTGCCCAGGCTAGTCTTGAACTCCTAAGCTCAAGCAATCTTCCTGCCTCAGTCTCCAAAGTGCTAGCACCACAGGTGTGAGCCAGTGTGCCTGGCCTCTTGTTATTTAAATAGTTTTCAAACCTTTTGTAAAACAGGTTGCCTGTTGCCTGCCTACGCCTTCCTCCTCCTTCCTCATGACACCACATTAGTTCTGACTATTTTCCTTTGACCTATTTCAGAAACATCTTAACTATTAACACTTTATTCTCTGTTTCATCCAATATATGAGTGCCAAATTAAATCTCCTTTTATCATATCATACTTTTACTTAAATGGTTTCTTTCTGGCTTAGAATTCAGGGCCCTCCATTTATGAACTGAAACTTACTTTTCCATCTACATCACAGAATTTGAAATGATTTATCTTACCTGAATTGTTTACCACTTGTTGAAGACCCATTTTCAACTTCCGTATATTTATTTACCATGTTGTTTCTCATTGTAGTTTCCTTGATTCCTCAAAACTCCTTTTAAGAAATTCTTTAAGATCTTGCTGTATTGCTATTTCTTGCTTTATTACTATCAGGACTATAATAAGGTATTTCATGATCTTATCAGCCAAGTAATTCCTCTCTCTTGAATTCATAAAGGATTTTCAGATGAAATCTAAAGATGCTTCTCTGGCACTTAACACACAATTCTATATATATATTTTTTTGTAATTAGTGGTAAACATATATTATTATATCTTCTAAATTTTAAACTCCAAATAAAGATATTAGCTCTTCATCACTTTGTGTGTTTCCCATAGCACCTAGCACAATGCCTCATAAACACGAGGTGATCATTACATATTTAGAGGAAATTCTTTCCCAAGAATAGTTGCTTGATAATTGTATTTGTCTTTGCTTCCTTTGAAAAAATTGTTTCTTTCACTAAATTGCATCCAATAGATATTACTTGACTGCGGAATTTTCTAATGATACTACACTACACAGTGCTACATCTGACACTAATTCTTTTGTTAAAAAATAAATATTCTAAGACCATACTTTAATATTCAGAGGAGATATTTAATGAAAAAGAATAATCATTAGATTGGCAGATTTGTAGAAAGAGGGCATCGTATGGTTTCTTGGATATTGGACACAATAAAAAATATTGAGCTAAAATTCTGAAGGAATTGGCAGATTTACTGTTACAGGTAAATACTTTGTAGAAGACAATAATGAATGAGATTTTCTTCTGAGATTTTCTCAGCCTTAGTTGTTTCCAGGTAGAGCCTCATAGTTTTCCTTTTCATGTCCATAAAAATAATAAAATCAGTAATAAAGTGAATATATTAGGTATTAACCTGTTCCTTTATGACAGTGTGTTTTTGTGGTGATGGGGGCAATAGCGTTTTTATTCATAAGTTGATAACAAATCTTTAAATGGTGGAAAGCAAAGAAAGAAATTATAAAACATGATTACTTCTATTATACGTTGTTTTGGTTGTTGGAGAAACTATACATTTTTCGAGATCACTATGAAGCTGAACATCAGCTATATTGCTGGAGTGATACTGCTGCAGTGGTTTCTTGACCTTTTTTTTGTTGTTATCTTTAAACACAGACCAACTACAGTTGCAGGCATGAAAAGGATTGATGGTGTTTCTGAAGGCAAAGCTGCCATATTGGCCCCTCTGTTGGAAGTCATCAAACATTTCTGCCAAACAAATAGTGTTCAGGTAAAATACTGTGGTTTGCAGGAGCTCTTAGAGAATAAGCATTTTTTTGTAGCCATTTCAAAAGTATCCTTCAGAAGCAACATTTTCTCACTTTATTTGCATTTCCAGACTGGACACTTAGAAAATGAATTCAGATTGTTTTTATAGTCAATCTGTTGTAAAAACATGTCAGTTATCTACTTTTAAAGATGATACTAAAAAGTAGTTGTCCAGGCCGCTGATGTCTTTCTGTTTCATTGGGAGGTTTCGTTTTTAAATTTGAAACATGATTTTAGGTTGATGAAATATAATTTTACACTCAAATGTGGTAGTTGGAAATTAAAGCTGAAAAGGTATCCTTGCTATGAGTTGGTCAGGAGCTCAGCCATTTTCTTTTGGTTTAGCATATTCTGTAATCCTCCCTCCCCTTCCAGCAATGCTGTCTTTTGATAGTAAGTGGATTTCATATTATTCTCTTCAGTTTTAATAGTGTTTCCTTCATATCCTTTTATTACTGCTTATCCTGCCGTCAGTGACCATTTCCAGAAGTTTGGAATTTTCTCTAAACTCCATGTATTAGACTCAATGGTGTATACTCTGCAGAAGGTGAGGCAGTGGGAGGTAGAGGGGAGACTCCTGGTCTTGGAGTCAGGGAATCAGGACTTTAGTTCTTCCTTACAGCTGTTCACCTGGGGAACCTGCACATGTCCTTTAACTTCCTTGGGTCTCCACTTCCTCAGCTACACCACGGAAATGACACTTCCTTCCCTCTCCACATCCAGGAAACAACAGATGACATTAGAAAAATAAAAGACATGGGATAAGCGTAAAACATTGGAAGAGTTAAACACATGCAAGGCAGTATTAAGGGATTATGTTTTACTTCTAAGAAGCTCCTGGAAGCTTTGGGCAGGCACAGTTGGATCCTACTTTAGAAAAATCTTTCTTTAACTATAAGTAGAAAACCCTTCTGCTTTTTCAGTGTAGCATTTCCCTCTTTTGATATAGAATATCTTTGGCAACTTTAAATTTTCTTTTTCATACTCTTATATAAGACATCATGTGAAAATTCTTATTTCTTATTGAGTTTTTGGAAATGAAATTCTAATGTCTTAATGGTTTGATAAAGACTGTCATATCTACCAGCAGTAATTGAATAAGTTCCCTCACTTTGGACACTTGACAGTAGTATCTTCTTTTATGAATTAGTGATATTATTTAATAATGAATGAATGATCTCTCCCAACTCCCCTTCAGGAGAGGAAACTGAAGTAGGGCAAAAGGTATTCATAATAGGTATGAAACCTTTATGAACCTTCTGGATACAGAAGATGATTGCTAATTTCTGTGATTAGAAAGTATATTTGGGTTATTCTGCAAATTGAAACCATTTATTAAAAAAATAAATGAATCAACTTTAATGTTTATTAAGCAAGTTTTGTTATTCATGAGTTTCATTAGCCTTGAATATATATATATATTTTAAATTTTAAGTAAAATTTCTTGCTGTCACAATACACATTAAAAATTATAATATGACATGTGTATTAAACACATTAAGGTGGCCATTTAGGAAAAATATGCTAAAATACTTTTATATAAGTATATTTTTTGGAGAATTTATGGAATAAAATAATGATATCATCCATAAATGTATAATTAAAGGGTTTAGGGATATCTAAAATACTGGGCAAAGTAATCAGAAGTAATACTCTTAGGAAGGTAGGGCTACAATGTGATTCTAGTAAGCAAAAATCGAATAAAATCATACTCCAGATAAAAGACTATATGAACATATATGGTACAAATATGTACAAATATTATATATATAAAAAAATCAGGGGTAGAGGCAGGGTAGTTAGAAAATACCTGAAGGTGTTGATGAAATACGATTGGCTATGAATGACAGTTGCTGAAACTGGATGATGCACGTCTTAGCATTCTCTCGACTTGTGTATATGTTTGATATTTCCCACAATAAACCTTAAAAAGATGAATGGTCAATTATAGAAAGATATAAATAGAAAAGGCAATATTGGCAAAGCTTACCTAAGCACTATTCAGATAAAAAGACATTTTTCCGCTAACTAGGTTTGAATATTATAGTTTAATTGGCAAGGAGAATGCCTCAACTTAATCTTTGTTATTAGAGACTACTTAAGGCACTATCAGAAGTTCCCTTATGGCGAGGTGCAAGCCCTCATGCCTATAATCCCAGCACTTTGGGAGGCCAAGACGGGCAGATTGCTTGAGGCCAGGAGTTAGAGACCAACCTGGACAACATAGTGAGACCCCATCTCTACAAAAGCAATTTTTTTTTTTTTTTAATTAGCCACCCATGGTGGTACTAGCCTGTAATCCCAGCTGTTTGGGATGCTGAGGCAAGAAGATTGCTTGAGCCTGGGGATTTGAGGCTGCAGTGAGCCATGATTGTACCATAATAATCCAGCCTGGGTAATAGAAAAAAAGTGTCTTTGTTGTATTCCAAACTTGCTAACAACTTTCAGGTGTGCTGGCTTCTATATAGGACAGAACATACTGATTGGGCCAAGTGAAACTGTCCAGTTGTATGCCTCATAGGTTAATGAATGAATGAATTTGCTTTCTAATATGTACACAGATAATATATACACACACATACACATAAAACCAAGTTCAACAGATGGGTATTGCCACTCTGCTGTAACAAGACACGTTCGATTTTTGAGATTGTGAGGATGAGTACTGAAATGCCAACCTAGACCATGGCGATGCCATAGTGGGGTGATGAATCTGAACAGCCAACAATGCTTCCTTAGTAAATACCTATTTTGTCTTGATAGGATTCCTAAAAATTGCAAAATGCAGCTATTCTGAAGCTGTAAAATAGAAACAGAAACATGCAACCCTTGAGACTGTTTTATTACGTCCACCATATGCTCAGAACATGAAATTTCCACTGCTAGGGTTATTTGATTGATATGGTCTTTTGTGTTGATGTGAGAGTTTAGCTCTGAGATTCTTCCACAGGAAAAATGTAAATCCCCAACAGGTTTGGCAAGCACATTTTATTACCTTGGGTCAGATAATTCAAATTCTAACATTAGGCATCATCTATATAGCATGTAAAAAGTAAAACAGAAACATTTATGTTTCTCACCAAGCAGTAAATTAATACTCAATTAATAAATTTCTTAAACTCCCTAATAACAGAGTATGGAAACAAAAAGTAAATTTCTTTCCAAAAGAAAAGCTCATAGACACATTTCCTTATATATGTATACATAATATAGTAGACCACATGATAAATACCTTATCAAAATGATACCAATATTATTCATCAAGAGACTAGGCTTTTCTTTAAATTATTAATTTAGTTTGTTGCAGGTTTTATTATGACTGTGGTATGCTGTTTTAATTTACCTTTTATGTGTAGTGAAAAAAATAGTTATCTCTTTACCTTAATTTCAGCCTCTAAAAACATATAATTATTTTTCGTTAAACTTGTTTTTCAATTGTTCCCTCTTTTTCTTTAAATTTTTTTTTTCTCTTAAATTTCTTAAGGAACCATATTTAAGATTTTATAGAATACTTAGATTTCTAGTTGGGATGTATTGTTTAAAATTAGATATGTAGAGAGAATGTTATATTTCTTTATATTAGTGGTTATAGTATCTAAATTCAAATATTGATTCTGTTTATTCACTCATTCATTTGGTATTCATTTCCAGGGGACTAGGGACTTATTTAAAGACAGAGTGGGTCACATTATAGTTCCTTTTTTCAGTAGTCCTTCTTATTGGTTAAAGACTAGGAAATGTTTGTTATTACAAATACTTTATTAAAAATGTGGGTGATCTAGCCTTATTTTACCTTCTTAAATTAATACGTTAAAAATCCAGCTTCTTTTTGAGCTCCCCATACAAAAGGGAATTATTTGTTGCTTAGTAATTAACTTGTGTTATTTTTTTCTTAATGGCTAATGGTCATATTTATATTCTATTATATTGAGATTGCTGATCATTTGTGCTACATTTCAAATTTTGTAGACAGACCTCTTTTCAAGTACAAAACCTCAAGAAGAACAGAAGATGAGTCTGGTAGCAAAAAATAAAACATGCATACTTTCACAGTCTATGGCCATCACATACTCTTTATTCCAAGAAAAGAAGATGCCTTTGGTAAGTGTTAATTTCAAGTTACAGGGAATTTTTTTAGTTTATTTAAACTTGTGTTTTATCAGCTTTTCAGCATTAAAGCTCAGACTTGGGATCAATTTCTTCCAACCCTACAATAAATCACATTTTATCTTTAGTTTTAAAAGAGAACGTTGTTTTCTTTTTCTGTTAAGCCTCCATATTTAAGTAATACCAGCAAGTTGAGTCTGACCATGAATATCTTCTAGAGGTTATATCAGGGCACTGATAAACATGTTTGTAGCTCAGTGATACTACAACAGCCATATTTAAAATGGGACTAATAGTTTAAAAACTATAAATATTCTCAGTGTTAAGAAACAATCTCAAAATACATTAAGAAAAAGGAAGGTGCAAAACAGTAAGAAAAACAAACATACAGATGTGTATGTGTGTGCATATGCATGCTTACTTAGTCACATATTCTTGTATGTGTACAAAAAATACATACTGGATTTCTGGAAGCATAGCTAAACAACTGGAAATATGTTTTTAAAAACTTGTGTTTCATTCTGTCTCTTCTAATACTGTTTTGAAGCTCTTTGAAAACAATCTAATTATTGTAAAAAATGACTATACGTAGGCTGAATGTGGTGGCTTATGCCTTTAATCCCAGCATTTTGGGAGGCCAAGGCAGGAGGAATTCTTGAGGCCAGGAGTTTGAGGCCAGCCTGGACAACACAGGGAGACCCTGTCTCTACCAAAAATGCAAAAATTAGCTGGGCGTGGTGACATGCACCTGTAATCTCAGGTACTTGGGAGGCTGAGGCTTGGGAATTGCTTGAACTCAGGAGGCGGGGGTTGCAGTGAACTGAGATTGTGCCACTGGATTCCAGCCTGGGCAACAGAGCAAGACTCTGTCTCCAAAAAAAAAAAAAGACCATAAGCCATAAGTAATGTTTCTTCATTGATCTAAGATAAATCTTTAAGACTGCTGAGGTTTTTTTTTGTATATAAAAGGGAAAGTAAGTTTTAATGGAATGGGACAGAATGAGGCTTCCAATTAAGTCTGAGTTCCCATCATCTCGACATTGAGTTGATTTGGAACAAGTGATATGGTCCAATGCCTGCTTTTCTGTTGTCTGTGCTTCCATCCATTAGTGCCTGTGTTATACACTTTTTGTTCAGGTTTTGTAATTTAAAAATAAATAAGAATAACCAGTCCGTAGCTTATCTTACTTACTGAATAAATGTTCTAATTTGACAGTCATGTTTCTTGAAGTTCCTTACAAAGGCCATTGCCCAAGAAACCAAATAATTTTACTATATTATTTTTGAAATAGATCACATAATAAATGGGAATTTTAAGTTCAATTTATTATGTAAATAATAGCTTATACTTACATGTTAAATATGCCTATATATGCCTAATTTGACCATGTATATATAGTAGAAGTGAAAACAGTTACTAAGAAAATTTGGCATTGTCTCCAAATTTTCTGAATCAAGTGTAATGCTCAGCAATCATACAAGGTTTCATGTGTTAGTTTATGTATTCCTGATTAAAGATGTGAAGACTGTTATATCTTCATTTGTGTCTTTTGATATTATTTGGTTGTATTATATTGTGTAATATGGTGGTTTAATTATCCTTACCTCCCAGGAGTCTGAGAGGGTCTTGCCAATTAACCACAGAATTAAACATGCTTAGGACTAATTAATCAGGAGCAATACTTCAATTAGTTGGAGGTAATTTGAAACCTGGTATCAAATAACCCTGATATTATGCACACATGGTACACACTTTTCTAGTAGACATTTAATGAAAGTAATTTAAAACCTACCTTTGAAGGATGAAAAACATGCCTTAAATGCTCTATTTTGTGAAGGTGTCAACATTCATGCAAATACAGTCTAAATTCAGACTTTGAAAATGTATTGAAAGAGAGGATCATGAAATAAGAGCTGAGTGACTAAGCTTTCTGAGTGTTTCAAAGAATGTTTTACCTAATAAGTATCTAAAATGTATTTGGAGTCACATTTGTTTAAAGAACTGTCTAAATATGTAGCACTGTTCATGCGAAGTTCAATAGTAGGAAAATGCTGACAGCCCTTGTGAAACTGTGGTTATTATTATTTTATGAATAGAGCCAATTTCAAACACCTATTAAAGTCTTCTGAGGAACCTTTTATAGAATGCATCTGGAGCCTTGTGTTATCACTAAGCATTTTAGGATTTGTCTTCTTGGAAATTCATGTAACCAAAGCATCATCTGTTATTTCAAGTGTATAGAGTATTGGGTTACAGTTTACTTTGTTTTCAGAGATTGTGACAACTATTAGACTTACAGAGAATGACTTCTCTGCCACTAATGGCTTTCTAAAGTGAATAATTAGAGAGGGGTGAGGATTGAATTCTTTAGTAAAGCTGGGTGATTTTGTTTTATTCAATACAGTGTAAGTATAAAAAGTAGAACCTATGGAGAGCTATAATGGGGGTAGTTTTAAAGGAACTCTGAAAATGAAAATTTAAGTAAAGGTTGAGTTCATTGTGTATTTCACACTGCACATTTACTAGCTGAATGTTTTGGATATCGTCTTTCCATGAGTGGAGTGGACACTTTTAAAATTCACTGGGTTCTTTTGCTGTTCTTTCTCTAGAAGAGCATAGCTGAGAGCAGGATTCTGCCTCTCATGACAGTTGGCATGCACTTATCCCAAGCGGTGAAAGCTGGCTGCCCTCTCGATTTGGAGCGAGCAGGCCTGACTCCAGAGGTTCAGAAGATTATTGCTGATGTTATCCGAAACCCTCCCATCAACTCAGGTGAGAAGCATGGCCTTTCTCTGCAGCCTTAATGACCTGATGAAGTAAACAAGCAATCTGCTAATATTTTTCACTTTTAACAGCATTAATCCTTCATGCTGTTTTGAAAACCTTACTTTTGTGTTTCTTTTCCTTGTTTTAGGAAAACAATCTTTCGTCCCATTATCACTCAGAGGAAAATATACTGAAAAAAATGTTTTTTTTGAGACAGAGTCTTGTTCTGTCGCCCAGGGTGGAGTGCAGTGGCATGATCTTGGCTCACTGCAACCTCCACTTCCCGGGTTCGAGTGATTCTCTTGCTTCAGCCTCCTGAGTAACTGGGACTACAGGTGTGCACCACCATGCCCAGCTAATTTTTATGTTTTTTATAGAGACAGCAAGGTTTGTTGGCCAGGCTGGTCTCAAACTCCTGACCTCAGATGATCCACCTACCTTGGCCTCCCAAAGTGCTGGGATTACAGATGTGAGCCACTACACTCGGCCAACATACTGAGAAATTTTTATTTTCCTTTTCGGCTTAAGGTTGCAACTTCCCCACCATCCAAAACAGTGCACTTTTATTTTTTTCTAATTTCTACCTCACCACTTGCAAAAACCACATTTTTCTCCACATTCATTCTTAGTAGCTTCCTGACTCCTAGTTCTTCCCTAAACCCTCTTGAGTCCTTGCCATTGGTTTCACTTGAATAGCCTTTCTAATCAACACAGTCACTGGTATCACTTACTGTGACGTGGAAGGGACAGACGAAGTTCTATGGGCCCCCATGTAGAAGGACTTCCTGTCACTTTGCTGCAGGACCTCAGCTGTGCTCACGGGGAGCAAGCCCATTTGTTTGCCCTGTAGAAATATTTAAAATTATTATCCGTTTTTTTTTTTTTTTAGCAGAAGTAAAGAGGAGGTGCATTAGAGGATTTTCTCTCCTACATGTGTAAATACAAACTTGGGGTCTTATAACTCAATAACTCTGATATATTTCGTTAGACTGTTAGGATAGAGTAGTGGCCATACCAAAAGCCTCATCTCCAAAGCTGCGGTGCAGATAATTACTGTTAACTACCGCAGTGTCTTTCCCGCTTGTGAACAATGCCCCCCAAGAATTTAGAAGATCACTCTCTGAAAGCACAGTCACTATTGTACTTAAATGGATCTGAACAAAAATAAGTCAATTAGAAGACAGGATTATTTCTAGGCTTGAGCATGACTTGACTGAAAGTCTAAAGAACAAACACTTCTTCACTTCCGTTGATCATGGTGGAGGCACAGGGAAAGGAGAGACACGGAGGCAAGCTGGGGTAGTGGCCATCTAAGTTCCAGGGATGCAGGAGAGTGGCCAGGGGACTCCAAGTAGAGTAAATAAATAACCTATTTATAAGTTATGTCAATATCATGTTTGAAATAGAAAACCAAATACTATATGTTCTTACTTACAAGCGGGAGCTAAAGTTGGTGCACATGGATATAAAAATGAGAACAGGCCAGGTTTGGTGGCTTGTGTTTGAAATCCCAGCACTTTGGGGGACCTAGATGGAAGGATTGCTTGAGCTCAGGAGGTCAAGACCAGCCTGAGCAACATAATGTGACCCCCCCAATCTTTACAAAACAAGAGAATTAGCCAGACATGGTGGCGTATACCTTTAGTCCCAGCTACCTGGGAGGCTGAGGCGGGAGGAGAGCTTAAGCTCGGGAGTTTGAGGATAAAATGAGCTGTGATCATGCCACTACACTCCAGCCTGAGTAACAGAGTGAGACCCTGTCTCAAAAAGAAGAGGAGGAAGAAGAAAAAGGAACAATAGACACTGGGACTACAAAGGGGAGGGAAGCAATAATGGTTGAGAAACTACATATTGGGTACTATGCTCACTACCTGGGTGATGGGATCAATTGTGCCTCAGACTTCAGCATCTGTAATATACTCATGTAGCAAACCTGCCCATGTACTACCTCAATCTAAAATAAAAGTTATAATTAAAAATAATAAAATCAGAAAATAAAAATCTGAGGTGGAAAATTAAGACCAAAGCCACCCATAAGCACAATAAATCCCTCCCCCCAAAAATTAGATATATAAGAAAAGATATTGTGCCAGGCATAGTGACTCACCTGTTATCCTAGCACTTTGTGAGGCTGAGACAGGCAGATGACTTGAGGTCAGGAGTTCAAGACCAGCCTGGCCAACATGGTGAAACCTCATCTCTGCTAAAAATACAAAAATTAGCCAGGAGTGGTGGCACATGCCTGTAATCCCAGCTACTTGGAGGCTGAGGTAGGAGAATCACTTGAACCGGGGAGGCAGAGGTTGCAGTGAGCCAAGATCATGTCAGTGCACTCCAGCCCAGGTGACAGAGTGAGACTCCATCTTTAAAAAAATAATAAAAAAAAAGACATTGAACCCTGACAAGTTTTAGTTTGTTCAGGAATGCTAAAATGACTCAAGATTGGAAAAAATCTTTAAATGTTAACACAATAAGGAGAAAAAGAGAAAAATTACCCAATGTCATTTGAGTCACAAGAAGAAATAACAGGCATTAAAAATTGGGAAAAAATTATATTTGAGGAATACTCCAAACAATTCTGCCTCTGTATTACTTCCTAGCTTTCTGATGATAACCTCCTGTGCAGATCTGTATGTAAGGAATGCATGTAGTCATGCTAATTTGAGTATTTATCTGTGTGATACATACAAATTAACGATGTAAGTTAATAAGTTAGCATTTGGTGAACCTGGTTAATATTGATTTCCTAAGATTAAGTTAGATTTCTAAATTTGAAAACCTGAGGGCTAAATCCTGAACTGAGCTGTAAAACATCTAAGGTAGGGTAGAGAGGCATGTTAAGAGAAAGCTGGCCACCTCTCCTAGTCACCTCATCTTCCTAACTTCAGAAATTAAGGCAGAGAGAGGAAAATAGTAATTACTCTTAGGATTAGATTTATGGTTGTCAAAACCTCTGTTTCTCCAGTGCAGAATGAGATGGTGTTTTAGTGAAAGCCAAAAAGACTCAAATGTCTTCTTGATGCTCATAGTCAGGAATTTTTTTTCCTTTAGAAATGTATTGTCTCTCAGGACTTAAAGCAATTTGCATCTTTCGATGAGATGTCGAGTACTAGGCAGTATTCTCTGAAAGAATTTGTGCAGGCCAGGCGTGGTGGCTCACGCCTGTAATCCCAGCACTTTGGGAGGCCGAGGCAGACAGGTCACCTGAGGTCAGGAGTTCGAGACCAGCCTAGCCAATGTGGTGAAATCCCATCTCTGCTAAAAATACAAAAATTAGCTGGACTTGGTGGTGCATGCCTGTAATCCCAGCTACTTGGCAGGCTGAGGTAGGAGAATTGCTTGCACCCCCCACCCCCCGCCCCCGGGAGGTAGAGATTGCAGTGAGCTGAGATCACGCCATTGTACTCCAGCCTGGACAACAAACAGACTGAGACTCAATATAAAACAAAAAAAAAAAAAAAAAGAAAGAAAAGAAAAAAAAAAGAATTTGTGCAGTTCCTCCCCTTTTTTTCTATTGACATTTTTGCTGTCATTTAGCTGCCTTCTTTATATCCTGAAACTTACAGGTAGTGTTGGTCTAGTCAGTAAGAGCATAGGCTTTGGCAATAGACAGATCTGTATTTAGACCTTGGCTCTAGCATTTCATTGCTCTGTGACCTCCATCAATTGACCCAATTTTCCTAAGCCTCAGTTTCCTCATCTCTAAGACAGGGGGAGTTAATATTGCCTCTCTTATAGAATTGTGAGAAATACAGTCATACGTCACTTAATGATGGGGATGAATTCTGAGGAATGTGTCATTAGGTGATTTCATGTTGTGGGAACCTCACAGAGTGAACTTAAACAAACCTAGATGGTGTAGCGTGCTACACACCTAGGCTGTACAGTATAGCCCGTTGCTTCTGGCTTCAAACCTGTACAGCGTGTGACGTTACTGAATTTTGTAGGCAATTATAATACAGTGGTAAATATTTGTGTATGTAAACGCAGTGAAACATAGAAAAGGCACAGCAAAAATACAGTGTAAAAGATTTAAAAAAAGGGGGGGGCTGGGCACGGTGGCTCACGCCACCAATAATCCCAGCACTTTGGGAGGCCAAGGCAGGCCAATCACCTGAGGTCAGGAGTTTGAGACCAGCCTGGCGAACATGGTGAAATCCTGTTTCTACTTAAAATATAGCCTGGCGTGGTGGTGTGCCCCTGTAATCCCAACTACTCAGGAGGCTGAGGCAGGAGAATTGCTTGAACCCAGGAGGCAGAGGTTGCAGTGAGCGGAGATCGCTCCATTGTATTCCAGCCTGGGAGACAGAGCAAGACTCTGTCTCAAAAACAAAAACAAAAAAAGATTAAAAAGGGTACACCTGTACAGGGCACATACCATGAATGGAGCTTGCACTCTGAGATGTGCTGTGGGTGAGTCAGTGAGTAAGTGGTGAGTGAATTTGAGGACCGAGGATTTTGTGTAGTGCTGTGGACTTTATCAACACTGTGCACTTAGGCTACACTAACTCTCGTGGTATGAATTTACCTATTTAATGAACCTGCATTAAATAGGTAAATTTAATTTATAATTTTAATTATAAAATAATAAATATTATTTATTATAAAAAATTATAAAATAATAAATAAAAATAATACCCTTGAAACTAAACTAAGAGTTTGAAAATTTTTCTCTCTCACCAATAATAGCTTACCCTTAGCTTACTGTAATGTTTTTTCTTTATTAAAATTTTTTTACTCTTTTGTAATAACACTTAGCTTAAAATACATATTGTACTACTGTACAAATATATTTTCTATACATCCTTCTATAAGCTTTCTGTTTTTAATTTTGTTAAATGTTTTTACTTAATACGTTTTGTTGTTGTTGTTAAAAACTAAGACACAAACCCACACATTAGCCAAGACCTACGTGGGATCAGGATCATCAGTGTCACTGTCTTCCACCTCCAATCTTGTCCCACCAGAAGGTCTTCAGGGCAGTAACATGCATGAGGCTGTCGTCTGCTATGATAACAATGCCTTCTTCTGGACACCTCCATAAGGGCCTGCCTGTTTTACAGTGAACTTTTAAAATATAATGATAAAATGTATAGTAGAGCAAACAAAAAACATAGCAACAGCTTTTATTATCATTATCAAGTTTATGTACTGTACATAATTGTATGTGCTAGACTTCTACACCTGTCAGCAGAGTGGGTTTATACACCATCACCACCACAAACACATGGGTAGTGCTTTGAATTGTGATGTTATGATGGCTGTGATGTCATTAGGTGATAGGAATTTTTTAGCTCCTTGGTAATCTAATGTATACTTGTTCCTGTTTGCTGCCCATTGTTGACTGAAACATCATTATGCATAACTGTAAATTAGATACTGTTCAGAAAGCTCTGGCACACTGGTAATATACGGTGGTGGTGAATATGATGATGATGATGATGATGACGACCACTGAAGACGTAGATGGTAAAATTTTGTGGTATCTTAAACATACCCTCTAAATATGATTATTTTTGTAGTCTGTCATTTTTAATAGGCATTTAAGAATATATGAATAGGCCGGGCGCGGTGGCTCAAGCCTGTAATCCCAGCACTTTGGGAGGCCGAGGCGGGTGGATCACGAGGTCAAGAGATCGAGACCATCCTGATCAACATGGTGAAACCCCGTCTCTACCAAAAATGCAAAAAATTAGCTGGGCATGGTGGTGCGTGCCTGTAATCCCAGCTACTCAGGAGGCTGAGGCAGGAGAATTGCCTGAACCCAGGAGGCGGAGGTTACGGTGAGCCGAGATCGCGCCATTGCACTCCACCCGGGGAAACATGAAAGAAACCCCGCCTCAAAAAAAAAAAAAAAAAAAAAAAAAGAATATATGAATAAAGAAGGTTTCCCAAAATATATTTTATAGAAACCTGCAGTTGATGTAATGATGTGTGTGTGTGTGCATGCGCATTCACAGTAAAGAATTCTTGGGCATATATTCTTGAATGTCCTAAATGGATGTTCTAACGTCAATTCATTATGAGCAGGGTCAAATGGTAAAGGAAAATTTCATATTATTCAGCCTGTATTGACAACATCTGTTTTATTTGCCTATGGTAAAGAATTTAAGTGCTGTTAATTTGCTTTCTAAATCATATAGGCACAAAGTTACAGAACTTTAGATTAGGAAATGAAATTGGAAATCATTATACTTTCCCTTTACTCTTCCCACCCTGTTTTGGAGATAAGGAATGTGAGACCTAGAGAGTTATAAAACTGTTTTAATATCATGTCTAAGATTAATGACTGAGCAAGTTTCTCTTTTTACTAGTGTTAAAGTTGTATTACCAATTTACTTGAAAGAAACATGCAGTTTCTAATCCTGATATAGGATATGGGTATATAAACTCTAACTTGATGAGTGAAACAAATTAACTTACTTATAATCAGTTTCATATCTTTATGTATTGAGTGTTTTTGAATACTCCTTACCATGTCTAGTACCTTCTACATTCTGAGATTTGCAATTTTAATTTCTAATGTTAGATAACTTTTAAAAGTAAGAAATATTAAAATCAAGCAGAATATAATGAAAAATTCGTAAGATATACTTATTAAAAACTTATTTCATCATCCTGTTAATACACTGTATGTAGTTGCACATATAATATGAAAACGTATATTTTTGAAGCCTACTTTTAAATCCAAAATAGAGGAGGTTAAGAAGGTTGTGATAACCATGAGGTTTTTTTTTTTTTTTTTTTTTTTTTGAGACAAGTTTTCACTCTGTTGCCTAGGGTGGAGGCAGTGGCACAGTAATAGCTCACTGCAGCCTTGAACTCTTGGTCTCAAGCAAGTCCTTCCACTTCAGCCTTTAAAGTAGCTGGGACCATATCTGGCTAATTTTTAAATATTTTGTAGAGACGGGGTCTCACTACATTGCCCAGGATAGTCTTGAACCCTTAGTCTCAAGTGATCCTCCCACCTCAGCCTCCCTAAGTGACAGGGTTACAGGTGTGAGAGCCACTGAGCCTGGCCCTCTTTTATTTCTTTTGATAGTGCAGTTATAATCACCAAACTATCATTTATTTATATGAGAGTGTGCTTTTGAATTCTTATTTTTCCTTTATAAAATACTCTTGGTTCTCTTACTGGAGAAAACATTGTTGGATTATAAACGATAATAACAAGGAATGAGGATATACATACCTTAATAACAATTCAGATATGTTATTTTCATATTTTATTTAACTGTAGCCATGCCGCATAATTTAGTGTTATAAAAAACAAGTTTGATTGAAATCTGAACTTTGTACAATCCTGAATTGAGAAGTTGCTTCTATTTTATTAAGACACAATCTTTACCTAAAAATAGAGCAATTATGAATTGAGAAAACGTAGCTAATATTTTCATTTTTTGTCTTGTTTGTTAAGTAGGTTTTGTCTGGAAAACTATATTTAAAGGAGCTTTGTACCTTTGTAGTCTTTTAGTTTCTCCTTGTTTATGTAACTTTAAACTCTGTGTATGGATTTGGGATTCTAACTATGCTTAACAATAAATGAAGGTATTGAATGAGGTACCTAAATAGCATTTTGATGAATTTTATTCTCCCATTCTTTATGTGCATGTAACTGGAAAATTAAGAGTGGCTTCCAAGGGGTCTACTAGGAGAGTAAGGGTAATATAATCTCTTTTAAAACACTGAAGGTATGTAGCCAGTGTTGTCATTAATTCTCCAGTAGATATTTTCAGCACTTACTTACATGAGAAGTTAGAGCAGAATAAGATGCACCTGTTAAAGCTGAATGCCACTTATTTGCATATATATAAAATACAGGATGAATTTACCAGAAAAATATAAAGGATATTTATAGAAATGTATTAGGAACATATATGAATTTTAAAATTATATCTAGAAATTATATTAACTTTATACATTTAAATTTAAATCATTAATAGTGGTTTAACACCATAAGCAGATGTTTATGCATCATAATTTTATGAACAAGACATTCTAATTTTAGAAATAAAGTGATTTCAAAGAGAATAAAATGTCTTATTTTTTCTTTTGCAATTAATTTGTTTAGCCCATGACATGATAATAGCTCAAGCTTGTGTTTTTTTCCCTAAATTGGTTTGTAAATATTACGTTTATAGTATGAAGAAATTAATCATACATAGTTTATTTTTTCTAATTTCTAAATACCTGCAGAAGAAAATGAATTTAATGCACTGTAGTTGTATTACTTGGTTTCAAGTGTGGGAAAATTTTTATGGTCTTCCTAAAACAGCACTGTCAGTAGAAATATAATGTGAGCTACATATGCAATTTAAAATTTTCTAATAGCCACATTTAAAAAAGGAAATGGATGCAATTAATTTTGATAATATTTAATTAGTCTACTATATTTAAAATTTTATCATTTCAACATGTAACCAGTGTGAAAATTATTAATGAGACGCTTTATGTACTTTTTTCTGTAATAACCGTTTGTAATCAGATATGTACTTTATATATGCAACGTATCTTCTGATGGTAAATTTTAAGTGGAAATACTTGATCTGTGTTTAGCTTTTATAAAATTTACTGTTGAATAAAGTGGACTAATGTACCCAAGTTGTTCCAAACATATTTTAAAATTTGAAGACAAATAAAAGGGAACTCATAGTAAATTCGGATATACACTTAGAATACTCTTCAGCCATTAAAAAATGATGAAATAGTAAAATTGGGGGAATTTTGATGATATTAGGATGATATAATGACCAAGGGACAAATACAGTTTGTTTGCGAGATATGATAGTCATGTTGCTGATTTTACTGTGTACAGAGGTTATCTTTAGCTTTCTAAGATTTTGAAACTTTAATTAGTTAACCCACTGACCTAGTTTCTATTAACTGGGTAACTTTCTCTTCCCATTTTTTTGTTTTGTTGTGTTTTTTGCTTTTTAAACTGTAGTGTTTTGAGGAGTCCTGGAGTAGCAAGCTAATCTTTGGAAGAAAGGAAAATATAATCCTGAAAACTAATGATTTAAAGAATGTCTTTTCAGGTTGTCATTTGAAAAATACTTGGTTTCTGATCACTAATTTGAATTGGGTGTCAAATGTTTGATATGTTTTGTAAATTAGGTGAAGATGAATGAGTAGGTTCTAAACTACTTGGGTTTACCACCCTTTGGAGCATGGCAGAAGAATGTGATGTTGGAAGGAAGTGCTGAAACATAATTATTGGCTTGCCTATAGGAGAGTGCTGCATAATTTTAGAAGGTGTCAAGAAATTGACACAGCCTGAATTAGTTCTGTCGAGTTGCGAAAAACATAAAGTTTCTTGATTCTGAAAATAAGAAATATGTTCCCAGAAATCTCTTCTAATTAATATTTAAAATAATTGATGTCTTGTTATTACAATAATAGCCATTGAAATAATCCTTTTTATTAGAGTCTTATTTACAAGTGTGATTAGCTTCTACTTAAAGAATAAATTATTTTTATACTTGATCTTAAGCAAAAGGCCAAAAAGTGATGAGAATAAGTTATTTTAAGAGCAAACTAATTATAATTGATATTTGGAATTGGAAGCACAATTTCCTTTAGAACAATTCTGTGAATGGTGGTTTTGATTCTCAGGGGAGCCCACAAAAGACAGTTTGAAACACAATTTATGCAGTGTCAATAGTACTGACCTGACTTTGGATCTTGGAGGCAGGGGCTTCAGGTGACACCCATGTGAAATCTTTGCTCCATTTCCACTCCATAGGGCTATAGGCATTTGAAAGAGGAAACTTTTCTTTGGCAACCTTCATCCTTCCTTTCTATAAAATATTTCACTGTTTCTAGCTCATAGGTTTTCTAAAATGTTCTCTATAATTTATCTTGAAATGGAGTTTTTTATCTTTTGCAGATATGAGTAAAATTAACCAAATTAGAATGCTAGTTCCTGAAAACATTGACACGTACCTTATCCACATGGCGATTGTGATCCTTAAACATGGTCCTGACAGCGGACTTCAACCTTCATGTGATTCCAGTCTAAGGAGATGTTTCCCCAGCTCTAAAGAGATCTGTTCAACTTCTAAGAGAAGCAAGGAAGAAGTAGGCATCAATACCAAGGTGTTAATTGTATATAGAATTTTCATACAGTGTCAGTTTGTTCAGTTTCCATATCCAGTACTAGAATGCTATATTTTTTGAACTGTTATAAATTCTGATATGATTACATTCTCTATGTGCTACATTTCCTTTGCTTTTCATAAATATGATCTGAGAAAAGTGATAAAAAGACAGTAAAAGGGGGGTTTAGTCCATCTGTTTAGCTTATTTTGTAGAATGTCAGCTTAAATTTTACCTGTACCTCATATTGACCCTATACCCTGGAAAATCTTTTTTTGGGAGGTATGGTTAATGGATTTAAGCATGTGGCAATTTATGTAGTTAATGAAAGTGAAAACAAATTATATTATAAATACCTCCCAAACTGGTTGACTATCATTCTGTTGTTCATCATGCTCTGTTACTATGATATTGAATATCTGAGGTACAAGGGTTATTGTTGCTCGTGGCTCTGAACATATATCCTAGTGCTTTTGCATGATGAGAGAAAGATGACAAATGTACTATTTTGTTGGATGGTATGTTTTATTAAAATCAAATGCTTCAGAAATAATTACTCTGTGTATGGCGTGAGAGAAATAAATAGCAATCGGAGAATATTATTTAGTAATATGACCCTATTAAATGATTACATAAATTTGAAAATTTGACCTTTAGTATTTTCCAGGTCTAAAATTACACGACTCCATTACAAATGTTTTTGAAATGATTAAAAAATTGTTTTAGTTCTTAGTTGATAAATACAGTGTGGTAGTAGGTGGTGGTGATTATTTATATTAGAGTATTAGGAATTTCACTTTAGTTCTAAGGTAATCTTTGTAGGATGTCCAGCAGCTGAACTCCTACCTTTTTTCAAATGCTTAAAAATAAGGGGAACTGGTCTTTTAAAATTTTGTATTTCAGTTAGGTCTTTATATAGTCATGTTCTAGATAATCTAATGAAATTTAATTAGTTGGAATTCTTTATATTGTTTATAACTGAGCTAGCTATAAGATGAACATTAAAGAAAATATATTTTGGGTGGGGTTAATGAAATTTAGCTTCTAATACCCAGCCTTTTATTTCTGTAATGTATACCAGATGCCTAAGACCCTCTTATTTTTTCCCAGCTTCAACCTGTCACTATAGGAAAATGTGTAACATTATTTTTCCTCAATATTGGAGCACATTTGTAGTAAAATATTATTTTAACTATGTATTACCATTTTTGCTTTTTCCCTGTTTCATTAACATTAGATGCCAACAAGAGAATGGGGGGAGTTTGGTGGGGGTTGGGTGGGAAGAAATCTTACTAAGTTTACTGGATTCTGAAAGGTATACATAATTTGGCCTTTTTTTCCCATTTAGGGGAACCAAGGGTATTGGGTCTGGGAAGTAGATAAGAAGTGAGTGAGTCATCCAAAGCATCTTGTCTTCATTGACCTCCTTGTATGAAAGCTGGTTTCTGTAGAGTGTTGGAGGCTTAGTTTCAGAATTTGTCATATGTTAACATTCATCTTCTCTACCGACCTGATTTATATCCCTTAGTCTGTTTCGTTTTAGAATTAGGAGGTTTCTGACAAAGGATAAAGTCATTAGAACAACTTTTTTTAATTAGTTGACACATTGTTATGTTTACATCTCTTGTGTTTGCTATTAAGATAGAAGCTCAATCATGTCTTTGTTTAACAGCGAAAGGTGGTGTCTTGGCATTGATAATTCTGATTCAATATCCATAGGTACATGGTGGGCTCTTTATGTAGTATTCTTTCATTTCTGCAAGGTTTTCTTAAATGATAGGTTTTTAAAATTTTTATTTCTATATAGTTTTTTAAAATCATACTTTTTAGTATTTTGTTCTATTGCTTCGTATTTCTTCTTCAGGAATTCCTGCTATACATGTATGTTGGATCTTCTTTACTCAGCTTCAGTATTTGTCACTTTTCATGCATCCTTTTTACTTCTTCATTTCTCTTTAATTTACATTTTTTTCTTTTTCACTTTCTATTTCTCTTTTAATGTAATCAGTTGTATTTATTTCTGTATTCCACATAGCTTAGTATTCACTTATTTTTAAATGATTTTTAACACTTTTTAGATTTAAAAATTTTTGTTATTTATATGTACTTATTTTATTTTATTTTAACCACAGGAGCAACCCTATTCACTGAAGACTTATATAATTTTTTCCTTTTATTTCTGATTATTTCCTCAGTTTTACCCTTCAGTTTTGAATTTTTCTAATTTTGATTTGTGATGTCTTTGTGTTTTGGATAATTTTTCTAATGTTTTTCAGTTCATTTTGAAAGGCTACAGTTTTATTCTGTATCTAAGCAAGACTTTCTGTATTGAAGATTTGACCTTGATACTTCTGCTCATTTTCATATGAAATTAGTTTTTCTGTACTTTCGAAAGAAGGCCAATTTGACATCTGTCTCTAATGTTTTTGTGTAATGTCTATACTGTGGAAACTTGGTTTATGAGATCTACTCTGCCATTTTTATCTGGGCATTCTCTTCTGTCTCTGTTGTACCTGTCCTGCTTGGTTTTGATTTAGCCCCAGTGGTTTCTCCTGAATGTGGAGCCTTCTGGAAGGCAGCCTTGGCTGGTCCCAGCGTTCAGAGTAGTCATCTGCTCTCTTCACCTAAGAGACCACTGTGGATTCCTTGTACTCACTTCTACTGGCTTGGACAAAAGCCCTCCTATTTTCAGATGCTATTATCAGATTAATCTCTCATTAATCTGTCTTTCCAGTGTATGCCTGTGGGCTATCTTGGGGTTCTCCTGTTCTCAGACACCTCCCTGCTTGCCTCTGCTTTCTCGTGTACAGTTGTCAGTACCGTGCAGGTCTTAATGGGTGTGGGTGGTGTGCCGCTACATGCTTATAATTTGGGTTTCCCAAGGATACCTTTACACTTGGTTTTATTGTAAATATCCACGATGGATTTTGGATTTTGCTATCTAGTTCTGTCTTAATTCTGGAATTCAGAAAGTTTAAAAAGCTTTGCTGCCGCTGCTGCTACCATCTTCCCAGTACCCTCTCCTCCTATGTCATTTTTTTCTTCTTCTTTTTCTTGACTGTATAAGAGATAATGTATGACATTTCCTGCTTGGCCACTGAGTTTAATTATAAATTAAAATACACAGTATTATACACAAATTGTTTTGTAGAAGATTTATTTACAAATTCATATTCACAAGTAAAACTGATTTATGAAAATAGTTTTCATGACAAATGCATCAGGCGTGGTAACTATATGGATTCACCTTGGTTATAAATGAAATTAAATGTGAACGTAACTTCCTATTTCTCTATTTGCTTACATCTGTGTGTGCACATATAATCAGTATAAGAGTTGATGTTTCCTATTCGTAACTTAATGGTAATAGCTTGGTAACAGGGTTGGAAGTATTAAAAAGATGTAAAGAGCACCTTAAAGTTTTGTTTTGATTGCTGGGAATTTTAGTCCTCTACTGATGAAGGAAATAGACACTGGAAGGCATTGTTTCTATTAAGTGACTTAGATCTCATACTGAGGACCTCTTCAAATACTTGTTGTTGACATTCAAAAGATACACTCAGTGTAAGTAAGCATTTGCCCCCTTTTCTCAATGAAATAATATCATTATTATAATTACATTATAAACACTGATGATCATATATATAGAAATATAGAAGACTTGAAATGATATTAGCTACCAATTAATGAGTGTGAAGAAGAAATCAGAATGTTTTGACATTTTATATTTATTCTTATTTAATTCCAGATAATTCAGTGATGTTATGTATTATTATTTCCACTTCTCTGAGAAGACATTGAAGCTTAACTAACATGCATAATGTCATACATTTAGCAAGTGGCTCAATTAGAGTTCACACCTAGTTCTGCCTGGTTTCAAGTCTATGCTACTCTATGGTACTAGGCTACAACATGACTTAGGGTTTCTTCCTTTGTTCTATTGCTGTTCAGATGTCCTCCTCTTTTGGCAGAATGGGAGAAAATTTTTGCAATCTATTTATCTGACAAAGGCCCAATATCCAGAATCTACAAGGAACCTAAACAAATTTACAAGAAAGCTGGGCACAGTGACTCATGCCTGTAATCCCAGCACTTTGGGAGGCCGAGGCAGGAGGATCACGAGGTCAGGAGATTGAGGCCATCCTGGTTAACACAGTGAAACCCCGTCTCTACTAAAAATACAAAAATTAGCCAGGCATGGTGGCATGCACCTATAGTCCCAGCTATTCGGGAGGCTGAGGCAGAATAGCTTGAACCTAGGAGGCTGAGGTTGCATTGAGCTGAGATGGTGCTACCGCACTCCAGCCTGGGTGACAGAGCGAGACTCCTTCTCCAAAAAAAAATTACAAGAAAAAAAAACCATTAAAAAGTGGACAAGGGCTTGATCAGATACTTCTCAAAAGAAGACGTTTATGTAGCCAACAAACACATGAAGAAAAGCCCAACATCCCTGATAATTAGAAAAATGCAAAATGCCTTTTCTGTATGCCAGATTATATCCCCAATATTTATTATTTCTCAGTCATAGTATCTTAAAATGTATATAAGCCTCATCCGTTCTTTTGGTTTTCCCCTCCCTCCTTGCAAGTGGGTACCTAGGAACAAAGTTGCAATCTTAGCCAGTTTTTTCTTTAGCTTTTGCTGATGTGTAAAAAGCCGTTTTCTCTAACCTGAATTTCTTAAGCTGAAACAGCTAAGATTTTACCTTTTTGAAATATGAAGTTTCAGAGTCTTCTGCCAAGGATCTTTTACTGTTTTCCTACTGTTAAATATTTCAAAACCTTTTTTAAACATAGAAAATATAATCAAACATAGCAAGCAGCTGATGAACAGTATCTAGATGGTTTTCATTCTTGAAATAGAATAAATGGTTTTTTTGTATTTTAGGCTAACAGACACTTTGTACCTTAGATAAGGCCAACCTTACCATAAAATCCCTCAATTACTTCTATTAATAATAACCAGATTAACTCTGTGGATTCCAGGGTGTACTCTTGATGGAGTGATTTCTCTATCATGTTATCCTGAGGATCTAGTACTCTGAGATAACACAAATGTGTGCCACTTGAGGCTTATGAAACACTTATCTACTTAAAATTATTTCTTTTTTTCATGTGCAGATGGTATAGTACCCAAACATTGCCTTTGTATTCTTTTTTTTTCTTTCTTTCTTTTTTTGAGACAGGGTCTTATTCTGTTTCCCAGGCTGGAGTGCAGTGGTGTGATTATAGCTCACTGCAGCCTTGACCTCCTGGGCTCCAGTGATCCTCCCCACTCAGCCTCCCAAAGTGTTAGGATTGCAGGCATGAGCCACCTCACCTAGCCTTAATTTGTTTTTTTTTTCAAGAATGTTTAACTTGAAGTTTAGAGGCTCTTTGGCATGTGAGCTGCTAAAATGTGCATGAAAGTGTTGTGCATGTTTATGTTTCTCTGGGAAGTGGATCTGTAGTGATTCTCAGATGAGTCTGTGAGATAAGAAACTTTTATTTTTTCCATTTATTTAGCAAATGTTTGTTAAGTGTATTATGCCTTGGGCATACTACATGGTGTTGATTGGTCCAGTCTGTTTATCTACCATTGTAGATGTTAGAAGTTATATTCTTTTTCACATTTCTAATATAACTCTTTGTGTGTGTATACATGCCGAGGCATGTTCCTTCCTCAGAACATTAAATTCACCATTTTGGCCAACTCAAAGCAAGTACATCATGGGACATAGATCTGAAATAATGTCCACTTTTTTACTTCCTGAACCAGGTGTCTTGAGTCTCTAAGACTACCTAAGATGGCAAGTAATTGCCTGAAGAAATGATATAGTGATTTTGTCTCTCTCATATATATATTTACTTTTTGATCCAGAAATAAATTCTATAGATACCACTGTTTTGTTTTGTTTGGATGGGGGAGAAAAGATGGGTGTATATTCAGGAACCTGTATTGCTTTTTTGCAACTTAATACCCCTTGTCGGTAGTACAAAGATTTCTTTTTCTTTCTATTTCCTATAGACTTCATCTGCAGAGAGAAAGAGAAAATTACCTGCATGGTTTGCCAGAGAAAGTGATACCAGCAAGAAAGTAATGGTCAAAACAAAAAACAGAGGTCTTTTTAGTTAAGCTGCCAATTACGGAAACAATTATGTATCTTGCTGTATTATTAGAGGAGAACTATATTTTACTTCTGAAGAGTAAGGAATCGTATTTTGGCTTAAAAATGATTCTAATCACAAAGTAAAACTCACCTGTTCATTGAAAAACTGGCATCTTAAATCAGCCTTCTGCAATTCATGTAAAGTTTCTGGGTCTTCTGGGCGCCTATGTGAGTATATCACCTAATAGAATATTAAATTAGACTTCCTGTAAGATTGTTTTAGAAACTGTTACTGTCCTATTTTCTAATCTCTTTATTAAAACAGCGTATTTGGAAAATGTTATGTGCTGTGATTTGATATAGATAACAGTAAGTTAGATGGTAATCATGTGATATAAAATATTCATATATTTCCAAAATTCTGTTTTGTAAATGTAAGAAAACATAGTTATTTTACAAATTGTCTTTACTATCTTTTGAAGAAGCTCTTATACACAATGTAAAGTGGTATTAGTTGACCAGGTCAGTGAAAATGAAACCACGTTTTGGGTGCCATTAAATAGGGAAAAAGAATGTAAAAAATGTAAAATGGATACCAGTTGCACTAGGCAACTGTACATTTCTATGTATTTCTATTATTTTTCAAATAATAAACATGTTTTTCATATTGAATATTATATATATATATATATATATATTAGCTTTTATTTACTTACTTTGAGTACCATTATTTTTCAAGGATGTCAGAATTTGATTCTAATCTCTCTTATGTAGCACATGTGACTTAATTTGAAACCTATACTGTGAGAGAGTTGGATAAATGATGGTTTATATAACTTTAAGCATTTCACCATACATTTCAAAGCCTTTGTTTGGCTGTTTTGTAAATAAAAATAACTGTTAAGAAACAAATATATCTTTATCATAGAAGAACTAGAAAATCCAGGGAAGTGAGAAAAATGGGAAAAAAAAAACCATGCATAGTTTTACTAGTAGCTAATTACCTCTTTTGTGTATCCTGCCAGACTTTTAATATTCATTTGTTTTTAGGTAAAATATAAAAGTCTTGCATATTCCTGTTTTTCTGCATTCCATTACCAGAAGGTAGTAGTGCCCGTTAAACATGTGATATGTAGTTCTCCAGCCATGTCTACTGCATTTCCATGAGTCTGTATGTACATCTGCAATACCCTATGAATATCCTGTGTGTTGGAGTGGCAAGTACGCCCAGACATGTCCGCTGCATGCCTAGGTACGAGGCTGTCTCCAGGAGAAACACTTGTTTGATGAATTGAGTTGCCAGTTGAATTTGCTGCTTTTTTTCATGGAATGCTATTTTTACTGAAAAGAATGACTGACAAAAAACGATGATTGGTTATTTGGATTTGGATGTTTTTGGCAGACATTCATAATTGAACAAAGTTGGCCTCTTCATGGAAAACAACTGATGGTATTTGTTGTGCCAATGATAAAATTCGAGATTTCTAGCAAAATGTGTAATTTTGGAAAACTTGTGTTCCCCCACTGGAAGCTTGACAGCTTTCCTTAACATAGAGACTTCTCTTTTTTCTTTCTTTCTTCCTTTTTTATTTTAAGACACACACTCTCACTCTTTCGCCCAGACTGGAGTGTAATGGTGTGATCATAGCTCACTATTAACCTTGAACTCCTGGGTGAAGTGATCCTCCTACCTCAGCCTCTGAGTACCTGGAACTACAGGTGCATGCCACCATGCCCGGCTGATTTTTTCTTTTTATGTTTTGTAGAAATGAGGTCTCTGTGTTTCCCAGGCTGGTCTTGAGCTCCTGGCCTCAAGCAGTCCTCCCTCCTCAGCCTCCCAAAATAATGGGATTACCATTGTGAGCCTCCGTGTGTGCCTTACAAAAAGCCTTTTCTAATGAGATGGATAGTAATTGACAAATTTGAGTTTTTAATATTATATAAAGATTTTTTTCTGTGTTTAGAAGATACGTATAACTCAGTGAATCAGTATGTTCTGGATGACTAATATGTGATGTTAAGAAATCACGACTGAGGCCGGGAGCAGTGGCCCACACCTGTAATCCCAGCACTTTGGGAGGCCGAGGTGGGTAGATCACGAGGTCAGGAGATCAAGACCATCCTGGCCAACATGGTGAAACTGCGTCTCTACTAAAAATACAAAAATTAACTGGATGTGGTGGCGTGCTCCTGTAATTCCAGCTTCTCAGGACGTTGAGGCAGAATCACTTGAACCTGGAAGGTAGAGATTGCAGTGAGCTGAGATTGTGCTACCGCACTCCAGCCTGGTGACACAGCAAGACTCCATCTCAGAGAAAAAAAAAAGAAAAAAGAAAAGAAATCATGACTGGGTGAAAGATCTGTTCAAAGTATAAGATGGATCAATGGATTTGAATATAACAACAGTATGAAAAAGTTTGTTGATATAGTTTCAGAGTACATTCTGCAACTAATCTTTAAGAAACTATCATTTGTCCAGTTTTTGGTAAAATTTCAGAGAATAATATCCACCATTATCTGAACAGGCTAAAAATACTCTTTTCCAACTACATGCCTGTGTAGAGTCAGATTTTTTCATATACTTTAGCCAAAACAGCATATCAAAACAGATTGAATGCAGAAGCAGATCTGAGAGTCCAGCCACTTCTATTAAGCCAATGAGATTTGCAAAATGTAAAACAATGCTGCTGTTGTGTTTAAAAATATTAGTTTTTTTTAAAGAAGTTTGTTAGTGTATTATGTTTACTGCTATTTTTAAATAAAACAACATTTTTAAATGTCTGTTTTAATTTCTAAAGTGGTAGTGATAGATATAACCCGTATTAACAAAGCTCTTTGGGGTCCTCAGTGATTTTTTTTTAAGAGTATAAAGGGATTCTCAGACCTAAGAGACTGAGAAATGCTGATGTAGTATTTTAAATGTGTATGATGAATTATTTAACTTCATATTGTTGGACATTAAAGTTGCTTTCAGTTTTTTTGCTCTTTTAAACAGAAGAGACAGGATCTTGCTGTTTCCCAGGTTAGAGTGCAGTGGCTATTCACAGGCATGATCATAGCATACTATAGCCTTGAATTCTTGGGCTCATGTGATACTTCTGTCTCAGCCTCCTGAGTAGCTGGGACTACAGGTGTGCACCACTATGCCCAGCTGCTTTGCACATTCTTGAAATATGGTATAGTCTCATGGCATATACATAACCAGATGGGGAGAGAGAGAATTTTGTTGTTGTTGTGTATGTTATCGTCAGTAACGGGCTTTATGCCTTCCCAGCATAAATTCTCTTTCCCCATTTCTTGTGGCTCTTGACTTTTGCTGGGGTTAGTTCCAAGGAGAGTAATTCCCACCTGGACATTGGATTGGCACCTGTGACCTCATCTAAGCTAGTCCCTAGTAACAGCGTTTGGATCTGGGGTAGGCATGTGGCCTGCTGAGCTGCTGGTTCATGCCTTTCCTGAAATCAGCCCTATCCCTGAATATTTCAGAAACATGGGTCATTAACCTCCCTTTACTTACCTTAAACCTCATTGAATGAGGAATTGTTTTTCGCTTCCAGTTGTGTTCAGCTGTCACAAAAGCACAGTGATGTGATTGGTAGAAAGACCTGCCAGCAGACACAGAAGATGTAAAGTGTTTTTAATCTCAGAGGATGTGGAATCTCAGAGGTAGTTACACAGAGTATCGGACGAGGCAGCTCCTGGATGGAGGCAGAGGCTTCCTGAATCTTCAAGTACTGCATGGGTTGTTGTATTAGGTTGGTACATAAATGAGGCAGAAGAATAGTGTCTGGAGGCAGGGAACCTAAGGCCGATTCACTCTGACTTCTAGAACTAAATCAAAAGGAAAACCCCAACTTTCCACACCTAAATAAAAAAACGACCAGAGGCTACTACCTTTGCAATCCCCCTCCCCGATGCCTTTCTGCGTCATGATGGAAAATTGAAAGTATCTCTGATTGGTTGCTTTCTGCCTAGGAAAGTGACGTTGTAACCAATCAGACTTATTGCTGGCCAAGTCTTGTCTGCATAGAAATATAACTTTGTAACTTCACTTTAACCTCTGATTGGTTGCTTTCCATAACCAATCAGATGCTGGCATAGGGTGTAACCATTGTGACTTCACTTCAGCCTCCGATTGGTTCTTGAGTCCTGGAGCCTGTGGAGGGTACTTTTATTTTCAGTAAATTTCTGCTTTTGCGCTTCATTCTTAACTTGTTTTGTGCATTTTGTCCAATTCTTCATTTAAGTCATCAAGAACCTGGACACCTTCCAGTGGTAACAAAAGTTGCTGTTTTTGCCATTAGAAGTAATGGCACAGAACAAGTGCTGTATACAGGAGAGCGATTTCTTACGGAAAATTCAATAGCACGTAAGTCAGTGCTCAGGGTATGGAAACTGGGAACTAGGGGAGGAAGGACTCCAACTCACACTTGTGGGATCTCCAAGTCTTTGAAAGTCCGTCCCACCCTGTGTGAAGAATGACAGCGCAGCTGGAGTCGTCACCGGGGGCTTTGGGGGGGCTGAACTTGTCATTTGAGGGTGTAGGGAGGTTGGATTAGTCACAGGGGTGCAGGGAGGGGGCTCACTGGCGTGCCACCAGGACCCCAGCATCCTGGATTCAAATCTGGTCATGCTTCCCACGCTCAGAGGCAAACCCCCTTCCCGTTGTGGGGTGGAGTCAGACAAGACCCCCTCTCCTTCCTTTTCCAGGTCCGGTGGGGCGGGGCTTAGAAGTAATGGCAAAACCAGCAATTACTTTTGCACCAACCTAGTATCTTCCCAGTTTCCCTCTCCTCGCTCCCTACCACCTGAGTGTGTTTGGAAGTTCTGTGTACCTGCCTGATCACCAGGTGCTAGTAGCTGGGCCGGAATGACCTCGGCACTTTAAGGACGATTTACTACAGGAACAGGTGAGTTGACGGCCAATTCCCCAGGTGTAGCCTGTGACCATAGAATCAGACAAAGCCCTGTTATCTGGAATTCAAAAAAGCAGTAGCCCTACCAGATAGCATAAGAATACAAGATAGGATTCTTCCTACCCAAATAGGTTGCATACGATTAACTAAGAGCATGAAAGATCCAACAGAATGTACTCAAAGTAGTTTTTGAGCTTAATAGACATTTAACTATCTTATGGAAAAGAATCGCAAAAACACAGAAACAGTGAAGAAGGTTAATTACAGCCTTGATGGGGTAGCAGACTTCAGCAGTCTCAACTATCTGAGAAGGTATTTACCAGATTATGGTTGGGAACGTAATCCAGAAATCATTTGAGATAATATACTCGTTTCCTTACTGGGTAAATGTGTTTTAACCTTGAGAAAATGTAGACATAAGTAGAATACAGAATATATTAAACCTGCGGTAGTAATGTTTTAGGATTAAGGAATAAGCACATATTTAATATTTAATCCTTGAGATAATTTATTCGAGTAACAGGTTACTCTTGTGACTGCAATATAAAATGCATCATTGAAAAATTAGCATCTGCTTGTGATTTTTAAGTAGGAACGCTACCATTTGAAAGGTATTTACCTTTATTATTGGAGATATTTCATATGAATATTTAACTTTGTTATTACATAGAAGTATTTAAACAGATTTCACTTGCAAGAGAAAGATATCTAATAGGTTACTCTTAATCAGTACTGAATTACTACAATTACTATATTCTATT